GCCGCTGCCTCCACCACCACCGCTGGCACCACCACCACCGTCTCCGCCGCTGCTGCCACCACCACCACCACCCCCGCCACTAGTCCCGCCGCCACCCCCACTCCCTCCGCCGCCACCGCCGCCACCGCCACCGCCCCCTCCAGCTCCACCCGCGCCCTTGCCCCCCTTGCCCTTGCTGGAGCGACGTCTCCCACTAGGGGTAGACGCCGCGCCGACCGACTCAAGACCAAGCAGGTCGGCAGCAGCAGCAGAGGCAACAGAGGGCAGCAAGGGGGAAGGAGAGCACCCCTCAAAGATGGGGGTGCGAGGGTCACCACGAGAAGCACCTACAGCGACTATGCTCTTCTCCGCTGCGAGGAGGGCCTTCTCGAGGAGGTCGACGGTGAGGGTGGTGGGACAGACTGCGAGAAAGTGGTCCCTAACGACGCGAAGGGAGTCAGGGAGGCGCGCGACTACGTAGTAGAGAGCGATGTACATGGGGGGTGGGTTCTTAGCGCAGAACTCAGCAGGAAGGGCGGCGCGGTAGCGAGTGTCACTAGTGCGGAGGTGCGTAATGAGGTCAGCAACAGTGGGAAAGGCAGAGAGGTTAGGAAAGAGGTAGGGAAGCATGAGACGGCTCAGTGCAGCAGTGGCAGGGGAGGAGTAGCGCGCAACTACAGCGTCGTACAAGGTCTGAGCACTCTTGTACTGACTAAAGTGCGCACGCTCAGAGGTAGGGAGGTGGCGACGCACAGCAAGACGTGCAGCAGCATCGCGGGTGGCCCACTGAGAGCGGACAGTGGGATCAGCATCAGCAGCAGGAGCAAGAGAGGCGCCAGAGGTGAGGTCAAAGAGAGAAAGGTCGTCAGCCCTGTCGCACTGTAAGAACAGCTGCAGGTCGTCTAACCAGACCTCAAAATCAATGGCGCGACCCTCAGCGTCAAAAGCTAGGACACTAGGGGTAGCCATGGCGACGACAGCGACGCAGTGCAAGCAGTAGGGAAAGAGCTCGCAGTGTCAGTGGGACTGTGCTCACCAGGCAGGGCAGGTCGTGCAGCTCTGCAGAAAGGCGGCTCAGCGACCGGGCGGCTCGGGTGCACAGCGGCTCGGCTCCCGGGCGGCTCGGCGGCTCGGCGGCTCGGGCGCAGGGCGGCTCGGCTCCCGGGCGGCTCGGCGGCAGGGCGGCTCGGGTGCAGGGCGGCTCGGCTCCTGGGGGGCTCGGCGGCAGGGCGGCTCGGGTCCCGGGCGGCTCGGCGTTGGGCGGCTCGGCTCCCGGGCGGTTCGGCTGCTGGGGCTGCTCTGCTGCTGGGGCGGCTCGGCTGGGAGATGCAGGGGCGGGGCCGTCAGGTGCAGCGGCGGGTCGAACGGTGCAGCGGCGGGCCGGCAGGTGCAGCGGCGGGGCCGTAGGGTGCAGCGGCGGGCCGACCAGGTGGGGCGGCGGGCCGTAGGGTGCAGCGGCGGGCCGTAGGGTGCAGCGGCGGGCCGGCAGGTGCAGCGGCGGGGCCGTCAGGTGAGGCGGCGGGCCGCTGGGTGCAGCGGCGGGCCGGCAGGTGCAGCGGCGGGCCGGCAGGTGCAGCGGCGGGGCCGTCAGGTGAGGCGGCGGGCCGTAGGGTGCAGCGGCGGGCCGTAGGGTGCAGCGGCGGAGCCGGCGGTGGGGCCGCGTCAGTGGAGGCGGCGGGGCCGCGTCAAGCAGGCGGCGGGGCCGCGACGAAGCGGGCGGCAGGGCCGCGTCAGAGCCGGCGGCGGGGCCGCGTCAGTGGAGGCGGCGGGGCCGCGTCAAGCAGGCGGCGGGGCCGCGACGAAGCGGGCGGCAGGGCCGCGTCAGAGCCGGCGGCGGGGCCGCGCCAAGCAGGCGGCGGGGCCGCGATCAGGAGGGGTGGCGGGGCCGCGTCTGAGGGACAGCGGGGCCGCGAGGGAAATGGCGACCCGAGGGGTCGCTAAAAAAAAGGCGCGCCTCGGGGCGCGCTTCGGTGGGCCCTAAAAAAAACGGTCCTAAGGAAGGAACCGCTCTATACCATGTGGAACAAGTGAACAGGAATGGAAATGACTAAGGAAAGATTGGGTACAAATACAACCCTAGAAACCCTGTACCCCATATGTGCTACCCCACTATAGCCTACAGCAACTATGTCATATAAATCTGACAAGAAACACAGCGGCGGGGATACCTAGAACCTACTGGTGTTTAAACGTACACCGCGGGAAATTCTTCAGTAAAAGGGAGCGTGGGAGCAGCCGAAGTTTTCGGATTTACCTACCGGCGACGAGCGATGGGTGAAACATCTGCAAAGCGCCAGTGGGAGTTTTGTGTGGTTTTCAGTTAAACTTCATCGGCGGGAGCAGTTTCGACGACGGGGTCGACGGCGTTGATGCCACTAGGTTCCTTGAAATTCGGTCTCGGAAGACCCAGGGCAGTCCCCGGTTCTCGATTGAACCCACACGCTGGGGTCGGGTAACCGAAGGAAACTGATGGTGACCGGGTGGGCGGCTATAGAACGACCGAGATTTTCGGAGGAGAACTGCACCTGCATCTGCGGATTTTCGGGGCTGTGTTCAAACGACATTTTCTAAGTTTACGCGGGACTTTACAGGTTTTACGGCAAGAAGCGGCGACAATTTCGGAGGAGAATTCGGCGTTTGGTTAAACGCGCGCGACATATACGCAGGGCAACACCGCGGGAGCTACACGGAGTTTTCAAGGGGTACGAACGACTTACGACGAACTGAAGAAGGCGGGGGGACAGCTGACGGGGGGGGAGCGACAGCTGTAAAATTTCATCCCTGCCCTTAAACTCTCGGCGCATTACGACAAATTTCTCGGAGAAACCATTCCAACTCTGCTACCGACAACTCGCCTTCGACCCGCCCACGACAACTGCATTAATTCTCAACCACGTCAGGTGCTGCCACCTGCAGCTGCGGAAAGTACCACCGAAGCTCTTGGAGGAATCACGACAAATTTCGACAGTTCGAGCAACGGCGATTTTTTCATCACGGTTTCTGGTCTACTTACCCGGGTTCGCCCTTGAAGACTTTTTGGGCACGTCACACCTGATTTCGTCATCGATTTTCCACACCGACACGTTTTCACCTTGTCCCCTACGCTCAACGCTCGTTTTCAGTGGGACTTAACACCTGGTTCTGTTGGGTTTTACTTCGGCGCATTTTTGAAGATTCTGTGGACAGCTTTCTTGGAAGGGGGGAGAAAGTGCGCTGCACTGTTCTTTCCTTGGCGTTTTTCTTGGTCCTTTCTGAGTTTGTCAGGTTGCGTCAGCACGACGGACGATCGCGATCACACCGACACGATCGACGGTCCCTGCTCAATCGTGTTTGAATTCGCGTCAGCAGGTTCCCTCTCTTTTCGCGTCAGTCTTCGACCGTCAGATCTACACCTGCTCGATCTACGGTTCACATTCCAACTTCTACTTCATTTTGGGCAGTTCATCTTCGACCGTCAGATCGAAATGCCCGCTTCATCAACGGCTTACATTCCAACCTTTTCAAAATTATTGTCAAAGGCATTTCGGCCGTCGGATTCAGCTAAAGAGGATATCTACGGAATCCTTGCTAGTGTGGGGCCTGTTTCAGTACAAGGCTGCCTTATTTAGAAGGTGGGAGAGTGTAAGGATTTACAAATCCTTACTGAGGCACTCGTTAGCGAGGACATCTCGAGGGTCACGCGACGAACCTGACCTTCCTATTTCGTCGCAACGAACCACTCCCGAGTCGGCCTCCGCTCCAATCGCAACCATCACCGAGCCATCCCATCCCGAACCCCCCGCCTAGCTAGGCTGTCCCCTATTTAGGCCTCGCTACTTCATTGTTTCGGAATTCAGTAATTCAGTTCTCAATCATTCTCGATATTCGTTTTACTGCGCACTCTGCAAGTTGATTCATAACATTTTGGGCTTGTCGAAACTCGCACAGGCCAACGCATGGTAACCAAGCAGGTGTGGAACCCTCAACGTGGTTCGGCTAAAAAGGTGCGGGAGGCACAGTTTCACCAGTTTGCTTTTGACTTTGCAATTCGGGCTTTGGGCTTTAAACCATGTCAACACTGAGGAGAGGATACACCATCGAGTGGGCCTTTCAGCGATCTTGCTGGACTGCAATTGGTCGTCTCGTGGCCCTCGATTGTTTCAGCTTTCCCCCATCATCTCTCCCCCTTCCCCTCACACGCGCTTTGAGAGATTTGCTCCAAACCCTTGTTTGGGGATTCGTTGTTGCACACGTGGCTACCATTTGCTCGAGTGGTTCTCAAATTCAGTGATAATTTCTCGAGTGGCCTCGCCTGTGGATTCTCAACGTCTTTTTTTTAGAATGAACATTACCCTTCAGGGGTATCTATCCTCGAAACTTGTGTGCTGGTTATTGCGCGATCTTTTATATCCGAAATTTATGTTCGTGACCCTATATGACCGCGCCTGATTGGACGCTCATATAATCGACCAATCCTGCGCGGCCATTAATGGTCGCGCGCATCATATTTTAATGCCCGATCATATATTTCCGCAGTTATAAACTGCAATGCCCTTAATGACCGCGAATGATTGGTCAATTATATGCGCGGTGCCTTTTTTTGAATTGCGCGTCCAATCAGGCGCGGTCATATAGGGTCACGAACATAGATTTTGGATACTGAAGATCGCACAGTAACCAGTACAGAAGTTTTGGGGATAGAAACCCGTGTAGGGTAATGTGACGGGTTAAAAAAAGCCAGTGGGAATCCCCTGGCAAGGCCACTCGAGCAATTATCACTGAATTTGAGAACCACGCGAGCAAATGGTGGCCACGTGGGCAACGCTGAATCTCCAAACAAGGGTTTGGAGCAATTCTCTCCACGCGCTTTCCAAGGTGCCTATCACAAGTTCAAGTGATTGTTTGCCACAATTCACTCTAGGCCAGACGCGTCAAGATAGCTGGGCATGTGCTGGTTCTTTTTTGGCATCTCCGATGACGGGATAGATCTGCATTGCGCTGGTTAGGCTTGTTATTGGAACCGGAGGAGGCGGAGGAGCGGGATGTCGGGATGGTCGAGTCCCGTGTTTCGGGAGTCGCTGGAGGCGCTCGAGGACCCGCACACCAGGAGAGGGTCCTTGGCCGCTCTCAGGTACTGCCGTGCCGCTAATGCCACTGCCATGCCGTTTGTGAACTCCTGTCAGCTTCCACTTGAGCTCGCAATTTTATTGCATCCTCGTTCACCGAGATCCATTTCCGTTGATGGCAGGCGAACGGTCAAAGACGTGGCTCCGGAGGTGATGCCGCGGCTGCTGCACCACGTGGCGGAGACGACTGTGCGCCACACCAGCAGCAAGCGATATGCTGGTGAGAAGGGCGAAACATGCATCACGTACGGCCGTGTCGCGTCGTTGCAGCTTGCTGCGCGAGCGAATGGATCACAGCACAGTCCGTACGACTGATGGGTTTGCGTTCACCACTGATGGCTCACTGTAGCAAGAGAGGTAGATCATTCATTGCCGGCTGAGCGTGGCGAGAAAGGTACAGCATGCGACACTTCAGAAACAGAACCCACAAGAGGTGCTCGTTCCTTGCGCGTTGCTTGCGTGCTGGCAGTGTCGCTGTTCGCAGAGTGTGCGCGCACGTACGGGCAGCAGATGGCGCTGCACGTGCCCAAGGTCATGACGGCGCTCGTGCGCGCCCTCGCCGCGGGCGCCGCCGCCGCCAACGGCAGCAGCATGGCGAGCAGCGGTGGAGCGGCGGCAGCGGCAGGAGGCACGCCGGGCGGTGGCGGCGGCAGGAGCGCGGCGTCGCTGCACGCGGCCTGCGCGGACGTGGTGGTGGAGATGGCCACGCACTGCGTCGCGCCCCCCCACGACCCCACTGCCGACTCCGCAGCCGCGGCGGAGACTCAGATAGGTGCGCTTCCCGCTGGCGAGGCAGTGCACGTGCGGGGTCGTGCAGGTTCCCACCCATTCCCCATGCTCTCTCATCCCACTGCCACGCTCTTCTGTTCCGATTTGTTCCATGATACGAGTGGCAGTGCCTTGCCTTGATACATTCGTGTTTGCCTCTGAACCGCCGTGGCTGTGGCCGTGCGTGTGTGCGCAGTGCTGGCGGCCATCTGCGACCCGCTCGCAGCGGAGCTGGCAGAGCAGCACCACCGCCACGTGCAGCAGCACCACGCACCGGGGGCAGGCGGGGGTGGAGGGGGCGGGGCGGTGGCAGCAGGGGGCGCGGAGCATGACGCGCTGGCGGGCGCGGCCAGGTGCCTGCTGGCGCTGGTGCAGGCGGGCAAGTGGAAGCAGGCGAGTGTGGGAGGGCGGACTGATTGAGGCTGTGCATTGCGCTAGATGTGTGGCAAGCGGAATCCAAAGCAGCGTCCCTCTCTGCCTGCTGTCATCCGCCTTCCTTCACCCTGCTCTGCACTCATCTCACGGGAGTTGACTGAATCTATTCTCACTGTTCTCTTCGCGTGCACATACAATCAGCCTTTTGTGAGTGTGTGTGTGTGTGTGTGTGTGTGTGTGTGTGTGTGTGTGTGTGTGTGTGTTTGTTTGTTTGCAGATGTGTGTGTGTGTGTGTGTGTGTGTGTGTGTGCGTGTACACGTGTGTGTGTGTGCGTGTGCACGTGTGTGTGTGTGCGTGTGCACGTGTGTGTGTGTGCGTGTGCACGTGTGTGCGTTCATGGTGCATGGCCAGCAGGTGCCCAAGGAATCACAGGAGGGGGCGTTCAAGGCGCTCACAGCAGCGCTGGGCGGCGTGCACCGCCCGCTAGCGCTGCTGCAGCTGGCATGCGACCTCTGCCACCTCGACGCCTCGCTCGCCAAGGTTGCTGCCTCTGCCATGCGCCATGTGCTTGCTGCTTTGCATTGTGCCTGTGTCTGGTAGCAGTGCACTGCCTTGCAGTGTACGCCCCAAGCTGCGTGTGTCAGCTCCTCTAAGTCCGTGCCAGCGTCCTCTCCACTTGCGTCCTCTCCACTTGCGTCCTCTCCACTTGCGTCCTCTCCACTTGCGTCCTCTCCACTTGCGTCCTCTCCACTTGCGTCCTCTCCACTTGCGTCCTCTCCACTTGCGTCCTCTCCACTTGCGTCCTCTCCACTTGCGTCCTCTCCACTTGCGTCCTCTCCACTTGCGTCCTCTCCACTTGCGTCATCTCCACTTGCGTCATCTCCACTTGCGTCCTCTCCACTTGTGTCCGCACTCCAGCTGCACTGTGCGTGCCTCTCACTTCCCGTGCATCCCTCCTTTTGTCCGCACCCCTTCCCTCGGTGCCAGTTCCACGCCAAGACGCTGCTGCGGGCGGGCAAGGAGGTGCTGCGGGGGGCGGCGTCCGTGGAGCACCGCCTGTACGCCGTGCGCCTGCTTAAGGACGCCATGCGCAGGTGGGGGGCGAGAGGACGCCATGCGCAGGTGGGGGGCGAGAGAGGAGGGCGGGGGGGGGGGGGGGGGTGGGTGGAAGCGCCGGGGGGAGAAGTTGTGGGAGGACATGTGCAGGAGGGGAAAGTGTGTGTGCCTGTCTCCGTCAGAGGCCCTGTGTGCCTGTCTCCGTCAGAGGCCCTGTGTGCCGAGCAGCCCGCACGGGGTTTAAACCGGACGACTACAGCGATGCCTGCCCCACGCGCCCTGCACTCACGCGGTTCATTAGAGTGTCCGCCTGTGCTCGTCTTGTGGCGCCCTTGCAACGCCACAGCATCACCCGGGCAGCCACACTGTGCAACTCTGCTCTTCGCCTCCATTACTTCGATCTGCCTGCATTTATCCACGGAAGCTCCTTTCTCCCCTTGGTCTCTAATTTCCAAGCCCTCGTGCACTGGCCTCCTGATGCCCCCCCGTGCCCCCAGCAGCTGCAGCGCGGCAGTGTTTCAGGCGGAGCTGAGGGACGTGGTGGCGCTGCTGCGGGAGGCCGCCAACCACCCCAAGCTCAAGCCCGACGCGCTCGCCGCTGGCAAGGCCATCCAGGACAAGAAGGTGCGCCCCTGCGCTGGCAGCACATGTGGCCGCCTGCGGCATGCTTTCATTCAGAGCGATTAGGCGTTGCCGCTTGCACTGCCTGCCTGCATGCTGGGCACAAGACAGGCACACACAGGGCGAGGCGGTCGCTCTCTGTCTCCTCATTTCTCTTATCGCCCTCCCGGCCCCACACGCCCCATGCGCCCATCAGAAGCACTGCCCCAGGCCAGGCGCCACGTCCTCAGCCAGCAAGGCAGCAGCGCGCTGGCGCCCCGACACTGCCCCGCGCGCGCCACACGCCCACCCCGCGGACGGGCCTCGCCATGCCACGCCTGGTGCGGGCAGCAGCAGCAGCAGGAGCCCAGCGTGGATGGGTGGTGAGAGTGACGAGAGCAAGGTGGGTGAGGGACGACAGCACGGGTGGCAGCAGGAGAGGCGGGCAGAGGGCGAGGGAGAGGGAGAGGGCCCCACGTCGCCCACGCACTCAGCTGCATCCTCCTCCGCTGCCCGCACCGCGCCCCTCGCCATTGCCCCTGCCGTACCTGCGCTCGCTGCTGCACAAGCTGCCTCACAGCCATCGGAGCCTCCTCCACGCGACCCCACGCTCTACTTCACCCCCCTGCCCGCCCTGCCCCACCACGCCTCCTCTCTGCACTCCTCCACACACGCAGCAGCAGCGGCAGCAGAAGCGGAAGCAGGGGGGGCGCAGGGAGCAGCGGCGTCAGAGGGGAGTTGGGCGTTCCAGAGTCCGCCAGGGCAGTTCACGGCCTTCCAGGCGCGGGGCACCGCCACCTTCACCACCACGGCGGTGCATGGCAGCGCCCTCTCCGCCACGCCGCCCCCCTCCGCGCCCTACTCCGCGCGCTCGCCCGCCTCCCTCTCACACCTCGGCCCCTCGCCCTCCCTCTACCTCGGCCCCGGCGGTTCCACTCAAAGGAAAGCTTTTGTCTCCCCGGACCATGGTGTGGCCAGTGAGAGCCCGGACGACATGCGGTCGGTGCGGCGGAGGGTGTTTGAGGAGGAGATGGGGGCGAGGGATGTGCCCCGCAGCACTGTCTCACCTGACCCCGTGCCCTTTGGCTCCGCTGGCCAGTCGTTTGACTCGAATATAGTGCCACATGAGTTGCGTGAGCATGCAGCACACGAGGCATGGAGGGGCCCGGGGGGGAGAGGAGCCAGAGTGGTGGAGCATGGGGAGCAGGAGAATGCCGGCGCTGGGGGCAGCGGGCACAAGGCCATGGGGCGGGCTGCTGCTGCCAACGGTGCTGGCAACGGTGGGCGGGAGTGGAGCCCCACGAGTGAGAGCAGCAGGGGCAACGCAAGGAGCAGCCTGTCGCCCAGCACGAGTGGCGAGGGCCGTGAAGCGGTGCGAGGAGGCAAGGCCAGGTCACCACACAGCCGCGGCAACTCGCCCCTCTACGAGCTCGCTGCTGCCTTCGTGCGCGCCCGCAAGTCGCCCGACCTCTCTGGCAGGCTCGGCACGTTTAGCCTCACCTCCGGCAGCCCTGACCAGCTGGGGGCGTACCGCCTGGGGGGCAGCAGGATGGCGGGGGGGGCGCTGGGCGGTGCTGCTGGTGGGGGGGGCGGCAGAGGGAGCCCCATGCGCATCACTCTCTCAGGTGTGCCCCCATGCGCATCACTCTCTCAGGTGTGCCCCCATCGTGCTTTCATAGGTGCGCGCAACTTGAACATTTGTTTGTTGTTCGTGCTAAACTGCCAGATTGTCTCAGTCGCCCCTCCTTCCCCCTCTGCTCCCTCACCCACCCCCATCCATGAACCACCGTCATCACCGTTTCCCACTCCCTGTGACTGCCCTCTGCCCGCGCCACCACAGACTCTGCCATGGCCCCAGACTCAGCCCATGCGGGACTCTACTTGGAGCGCTCGCGCCACTTGACCTCGCCCTTGCCCTCGCCGCCCTCGCACTCACAGCCACCAGGCAGCCGGCAGGTGGGCACAGGAGGGGGTGTGGGGAAGGCGTCAGGGCAGGCGGGCTTCCTGCTGCACCTGCCCCCGCATGCCGGCACAGGCGCCAGCGCACAGGGCGCACGCGATGGCGCGGGCAGCAGAGCAGGGGCGGGTGGCAGTGTGGGCATGGGCAGCAGTGGGGTGTTTGTGCGGCTGAGTGGGGACGTGGAGCATGGCGGGGGGGCCGCACGGGCGTCAACGGGCTGCAAGGCGGCAGGGGAGGGGGGGGGTGGCAACGGCAAAGGGGCCGTGCTGGCAGCACACTTGGCTGTGCAGGCAGAGAACACGGGGACCCATGGGAGTGGTGTGCACAAGGGTGGGGTGGATGCGAGCGATGGCAAGGAGGGGGCAGTGCAGGCGTCAGCAGCGGCAGGCAGCTCCCCTGGCAGCAGCAGCAGGGCACGCGAGGGCAGCAGCAGCGGGGCACGCGAGGGCAGCAGCAGCGGGGCACGCGAGGGCAGCAGCAGCGGGGCAGGCGAGGGCAGCAGCAGCGGGGCACTCGAGGGCAGCAGCGGGTGGGAGGGGTCGTCGGGCTTCTGCCGCCTCATCTCCGACGCTGAGGTGGCCTCCGCGCTCGCCAGCATGCGCGCCACCCACGCCCTCTCCGCCCTCAGGTCTGTGCCGCGCTAGGCCGCACAGCCCTCTCCGCCCTCAGGTCTGTGCCGCGCTAGGCCGCACAGCCCTCTCCGCCCTCAGGTCTGTGCCGCGCTAGGCCGCACAGCCCTCTCCGCCCTCAGGGCTGTGCCGCGCTAGGCCGCACAGCCCTCTCCGCCCTCAGGGCTGTGCCGCGCTAGGCCGCACAGCCCTCTCCGCCCTCAGGGCTGTGCCGCGCTAGACCGCACAGCACAGCCCTCTTGTTCTTGCACCTCTCGGGGGCGCTTCCTCTTCCTCATGCTCTCCACCCTTTTCATCCCCGCACCCCGTCCACGCTTTTGAGTCGACTCAAAAGCACTTCCTCTTCCTCATGCTCTCCACCCTTTTCATCCCCGCACCCCGTCCACGCTTTTGAGTCGACTCAAAAGCACTTCCTCTTCCTCATGCTCTCCACCCTTTTCATCCCCGCACCCCGTCCACGCTTTTGAGTCGACTCAAAAGCACTTCCTCTTCCTCATGCTCTCCACCCTTTTCATCCCCGCACCCCGTCCACGCTTTTGAGTCGACTCAAAAGCACTTCCTCTTCCTCATGCTCTCCACCCTTTTCATCCCCGCACCCCGTCCACGCTTTTGAGTCGACTCAAAAGCACTTCCTCTTCCTCATGCTCTCCACCCTTTTCATCCCCGCACCCCGTCCACGCTTTTGAGTCGACTCAAAAGCACTTCCTCTTCCTCATGCTCTCCACCCTTTTCATCCCCGCACCCCGTCCACGCTTTTGAGTCGACTCAAAAGCACTTCCTCTTCCTCATGCTCTCCACCCTTTTCATCCCCGCACCCCGTCCACGCTTTTGAGTCGACTCAAAAGCACTTCCTCTTCCTCATGCTCTCCACCCTTTTCATCCCCGCACCCCGTCCACGCTTTTGAGTCGACTCAAAAGCACTTTCTCTTCCTCATGCTCTCCACCCTTTTCATCCCCGCACCCCGTCCACGCTTTTGAGTCGACTCAAAAGCACTTCCTCTTCCTCATGCTCTCCACCCTTTTCATCCCCGCACCCCGTCCACGCTTATGAGTCGACTCAAAAGTACTTCCTCTTGCTCATGCTCTCCACCCTTTTCATCCCCGCACCCCGTCCACGCTTTTGAGTCGACTCAAAAGCACTTCCTCTTCCTCATGCTCTCCACTCTTTTCATCCCCGCACCCCGTCCACGCTTTTGAGTCGACTCAAAAGCACTTCCTCTTCCTCATGCTCTCCACCCTTTTCATCCCCGCACCCCGTCCACGCTTTTGAGTCGACTCAAAAGCACTTTCTCTTCCTCATGCTCTCCACCCTTTTCATCCCCGCACCCCGTCCACGCTTTTGAGTCGACTCAAAAGCACTTCCTCTTCCTCATGCTCTCCACCCTTTTCATCCCCGCACCCCGTCCACGCTTTTGAGTCGACTCAAAAGCACTTCCTCTTCCTCATGCTCTCCACCCTTTTCATCCCCGCACCCCGTCCACGCTTTTGAGTCGACTCAAAAGCACTTCCTCTTCCTCATGCTCTCCACCCTTTTCATCCCCGCACCCCGTCCACGCTTTTGAGTCGACTCAAAAGCACTTCCTCTTCCTCATGCTCTCCACCCTTTTCATCCCCGCACCCCGTCCACGCTTTTGAGTCGACTCAAAAGCACTTCCTCTTCCTCATGCTCTCCACCCTTTTCATCCCCGCACCCCGTCCACGCTTTTGAGTCGACTCAAAAGCACTTCCTCTTCCTCATGCTCTCCACCCTTTTCATCCCCGCACCCCGTCCACGCTTTTGAGTCGACTCAAAAGCACTTCCTCTTCCTCATGCTCTCCACTCTTTTCATCCCCGCACCCCGTCCACGCTTTTGAGTCGACTCAAAAGCACTTCCTCTTCCTCATGCTCTCCACCCTTTTCATCCCCGCACCCCGTCCACGCTTTTGAGTCGACTCAAAAGCACTTTCTCTTCCTCATGCTCTCCACCCTTTTCATCCCCGCACCCCGTCCACGCTTTTGAGTCGACTCAAAAGCACTTCCTCTTCCTCATGCTCTCCACCCTTTTCATCCCCGCACCCCGTCCACGCTTTTGAGTCGACTCAAAAGCACTTTCTCTTCCTCATGCTCTCCACCCTTTTCATCCCCGCACCCCGTCCACGCTTTTGAGTCGACTCAAAAGCACTTCCTCTTCCTCATGCTCTCCACCCTTTTCATCCCCGCACCCCGTCCACGCTTTTGAGTCGACTCAAAAGCACTTCCTCTTCCTCATGCTCTCCACCCTTTTCATCCCCGCACCCCGTCCACGCTTTTGAGTCGACTCAAAAGCACTTTCTCTTCCTCATGCTCTCCACCCTTTTCATCCCCGCACCCCGTCCACGCTTTTGAGTCGACTCAAAAGCACTTCCTCTTCCTCATGCTCTCCACCCTTTTCATCCCCGCACCCCGTCCACGCTTTTGAGTCGACTCAAAAGCACTTCCTCTTCCTCATGCTCTCCACCCTTATCATCCCCGCACCCCGTCCACGCTTTTGAGTCGACTCAAAAGCACTTTCTCTTCCTCATGCTCTCCACCCTTTTCATCCCCGCACCCCGTCCACGCTTTTGAGTCGACTCAAAAGCACTTTCTCTTCCTCATGCTCTCCACCCTTTTCATCCCCGCACCCCGTCCACGCTTTTGAGTCGACTCAAAAGCACTTCCTCTTCCTCATGCTCTCCACCCTTTTCATCCCCGCACCCCGTCCACGCTTTTGAGTCGACTCAAAAGCACTTCCTCTTCCTCATGCTCTCTACCCTTATCATCCCCGCACCCCGTCCACGCTTTTGAGTCGACTCAAAAGCACTTTCTCTTCCTCATGCTCTCCACCCTTTTCATCCCCGCACCCCGTCCACGCTTTTGAGTCGACTCAAAAGCACTTCCTCTTCCTCATGCTCTCCACCCTTTTCATCCCCGCACCCCGTCCACGCTTTTGAGTCGACTCAAAAGCACTACCCCGTCCACGCTTTTGAGTCGACTCAAAAGCACTTCCTCTTCCTCATGCTCTCCACCCTTTTCATCCCCGCACCCCGTCCACGCTTTTGAGTCGACTCAAAAGCACTTTCTCTTCCTCATGCTCTCCACCCTTTTCATCCCCGCACCCCGTCCACGCTTTTGAGTCGACTCAAAAGCACTTCCTCTTCCTCATGCTCTCCACCCTTTTCATCCCCGCACCCCGTCCACGCTTTGAGTCGACTCAAAAGCACTTCCTCTTCCTCATGCTCTCCACCCTTTTCATCCCCGCACCCCGTCCACGCTTTTGAGTCGACTCAAAAGCACTTCCTCTTCCTCATGCTCTCCACCCTTTTCATCCCCGCACCCCGTCCACGCTTTTGAGTCGACTCAAAAGCACTTCCTCTTCCTCATGCTCTCCACCCTTTTCATCCCCGCACCCCGTCCACGCTTTTGAGTCGACTCAAAAGCACTTTCTCTTCCTCATGCTCTCCACCCTTTTCATCCCCGCACCCCGTCCACGCTTTTGAGTCGACTCAAAAGCACTTCCTCTTCCTCATGCTCTCCACCCTTTTCATCCCCGCACCCCGTCCACGCTTTTGAGTCGACTCAAAAGCACTTCCTCTTCCTCATGCTCTCCACCCTTTTCATCCCCGCACCCCGTCCACGCTTTTGAGTCGACTCAAAAGCACTTCCTCTTCCTCATGCTCTCCACTCTTTTCATCCCCGCACCCCGTCCACGCTTTTGAGTCGACTCAAAAGCACTTCCTCTTCCTCATGCTCTCCACCCTTTTCATCCCCGCACCCCGTCCACGCTTTTGAGTCGACCTAAAAGCACTTCCTCTTCCTCATGCTCTCCACCCTTTTCATCCCCGCACCCCGTCCACGCTTTTGAGTCGACTCAAAAGCACTTCCTCTTCCTCATGCTCTCCACCCTTTTCATCCCCGCACCCCGTCCACGCTTTTGAGTCGACTCAAAAGCACTTCCTCTTCCTCATGCTCTCCACCCTTTTCATCCCCGCACCCCGTCCACGCTTTTGAGTCGACTCAAAAGCACTTCCTCTTCCTCATGCTCTCCACTCTTTTCATCCCCGCACCCCGTCCACGCTTTTGAGTCGACTCAAAAGCACTTCCTCTTCCTCATGCTCTCCACCCTTTTCATCCCCGCACCCCGTCCACGCTTTTGAGTCGACTCAAAAGCACTTTCTCTTCCTCATGCTCTCCACCCTTTTCATCCCCGCACCCCGTCCACGCTTTTGAGTCGACTCAAAAGCACTTCCTCTTCCTCATGCTCTCCACCCTTTTCATCCCCGCACCCCGTCCACGCTTTTGAGTCGACTCAAAAGCACTTTCTCTTCCTCATGCTCTCCACCCTTTTCATCCCCGCACCCCGTCCACGCTTTTGAGTCGACTCAAAAGCACTTCCTCTTCCTCATGCTCTCCACCCTTTTCATCCCCGCACCCCGTCCACGCTTTGAGTCGACTCAAAAGCACTTCCTCTTCCTCATGCTCTCCACCCTTTTCATCCCCGCACCCCGTCCACGCTTTTGAGTCGACTCAAAAGCACTTCCTCTTCCTCATGCTCTCCACCCTTTTCATCCCCGCACCCCGTCCACGCTTTTGAGTCGACTCAAAAGCACTTCCTCTTCCTCATGCTCTCCACCCTTTTCATCCCCGCACCCCGTCCACGCTTTTGAGTCGACTCAAAAGCACTTTCTCTTCCTCATGCTCTCCACCCTTTTCATCCCCGCACCCCGTCCACGCTTTTGAGTCGACTCAAAAGCACTTCCTCTTCCTCATGCTCTCCACCCTTTTCATCCCCGCACCCCGTCCACGCTTTTGAGTCGACTCAAAAGCACTTCCTCTTCCTCATGCTCTCCACCCTTTTCATCCCCGCACCCCGTCCACGCTTTTGAGTCGACTCAAAAGCACTTCCTCTTCCTCATGCTCTCCACTCTTTTCATCCCCGCACCCCGTCCACGCTTTTGAGTCGACTCAAAAGCACTTCCTCTTCCTCATGCTCTCCACCCTTTTCATCCCCGCACCCCGTCCACGCTTTTGAGTCGACTCAAAAGCACTTTCTCTTCCTCATGCTCTCCACCCTTTTCATCCCCGCACCCCGTCCACGCTTTTGAGTCGACTCAAAAGCACTTTCTCTTCCTCATGCTCTCCACCCTTTTCATCCCCGCACCCCGTCCACGCTTTTGAGTCGACTCAAAAGCACTTCCTCTTCCTCATGCTCTCCACCCTTTTCATCCCCGCACCCCGTCCACGCTTTTGAGTCGACTCAAAAGCACTTCCTCTTCCTCATGCTCTCCACCCTTTTCATCCCCGCACCCCGTCCACGCTTTTGAGTCGACTCAAAAGCACTTCCTCTTCCTCATGCTCTCCACCCTTTTCATCCCCGCACCCCGTCCACGCTTTTGAGTCGACTCAAAAGCACTTTCTCTTCCTCATGCTCTCCACCCTTTTCATCCCCGCACCCCGTCCACGCTTTTGAGTCGACTCAAAAGCACTTCCTCTTCCTCATGCTCTCCACCCTTTTCATCCCCGCACCCCGTCCACGCTTTTGAGTCGACTCAAAAGCACTTCCTCTTCCTCATGCTCTCCACCCTTTTCATCCCCGCACCCCGTCCACGCTTTTGAGTCGACTCAAAAGCACTTCCTCTTCCTCATGCTCTCCACTCTTTTCATCCCCGCACCCCGTCCACGCTTTTGAGTCGACTCAAAAGCACTTCCTCTTCCTCATGCTCTCCACCCTTTTCATCCCTGCACCCCGTCCACGCTTTTGAGTCGACTCAAAAGCACTTTCTCTTCCTCATGCTCTCCACCCTTTTCATCCCCGCACCCCGTCCACGCTTTTGAGTCGACTCAAAAGCACTTTCTCTTCCTCATGCTCTCCACCCTTTTCATCCCCGCACCCCGTCCACGCTTTTGAGTCGACTCAAAAGCACTTCCTCTTCCTCATGCTCTCCACCCTTTTCATCCCCGCACCCCGTCCACGCTTTTGAGTCGACTCAAAAGCACTTTCTCTTCCTCATGCTCTCCACCCTTTTCATCCCCGCACCCCGTCCACGCTTTTGAGTCGACTCAAAAGCACTTCCTCTTCCTCATGCTCTCCACCCTTTTCATCCCCGCACCCCGTCCACGCTTTTGAGTCGACTCAAAAGCACTTTCTCTTCCTCATGCTCTCCACCCTTTTCATCCCCGCACCCCGTCCACGCTTTTGAGTCGACTCAAAAGCACTTCCTCTTCCTCATGCTCTCCACCCTTTTCATCCCCGCACCCCGTCCACGCTTTTGAGTCGACTCAAAAGCACTTTCTCTTCCTCATGCTCTCCACCCTTTTCATCCCCGCACCCCGTCCACGCTTTTGAGTCGACTCAAAAGCACTTCCTCTTCCTCATGCTCTCCACCCTTTTCATCCCCGCACCCCGTCCACGCTTTTGAGTCGACTCAAAAGCACTTTCTCTTCCTCATGCTCTCCACCCTTTTCATCCCCGCACCCCGTCCACGCTTTTGAGTCGACTCAAAAGCACTTCCTCTTCCTCATGCTCTCCACCCTTTTCATCCCCGCACCCCGTCCACGCTTTTGAGTCGACTCAAAAGCACTTCCTCTTCCTCATGCTCTCCACCCTTTTCATCCCCGCACCCCGTCCACGCTTTTGAGTCGACTCAAAAGCACTTCCTCTTCCTCATGCTCTCCACCCTTTTCATCCCCGCACCCCGTCCACGCTTTTGAGTCGACTCAAAAGCACTTCCTCTTCCTCATGCTCTCCACTCTTTTCATCCCCGCACCCCGTCCACGCTTTTGAGTCGACTCAAAAGCACTTCCTCTTCCTCATGCTCTCCACCCTTTTCATCCCCGCACCCCGTCCACGCTTTTGAGTCGACTCAAAAGCACTTTCTCTTCCTCATGCTCTCCACCCTTTTCATCCCCGCACCCCGTCCACGCTTTTGAGTCGACTCAAAAGCACTTTCTCTTCCTCATGCTCTCCACCCTTTTCATCCCCGCACCCCGTCCACGCTTTTGAGTCGACTCAAAAGCACTTCCTCTTCCTCATGCTCTCCACCCTTTTCATCCCTGCACCCCGTCCACGCTTTTGAGTCGACTCAAAAGCACTTTCTCTTCCTCATGCTCTCCACCCTTTTCATCCCCGCACCCCGTCCACGCTTTTGAGTCGACTCAAAAGCACTTTCTCTTCCTCATGCTCTCCACCCTTTTCATCCCCGCACCCCGTCCACGCTTTTGAGTCGACTCAAAAGCACTTCCTCTTCCTCATGCTCTCCACCCTTTTCATCCCCGCACCCCGTCCACGCTTTTGAGTCGACTCAAAAGCACTTTCTCTTCCTCATGCTCTCCACCCTTTTCATCCCCGCACCCCGTCCACGCTTTTGAGTCGACTCAAAAGCACTTCCTCTTCCTCATGCTCTCCACCCTTTTCATCCCCGCACCCCGTCCACGCTTTTGAGTCGACTCAAAAGCACTTTCTCTTCCTCATGCTCTCCACCCTTTTCATCCCCGCACCCCGTCCACGCTTTTGAGTCGACTCAAAAGCACTTCCTCTTCCTCATGCTCTCCACCCTTTTCATCCCCGCACCCCGTCCACGCTTTTGAGTCGACTCAAAAGCACTTTCTCTTCCTCATGCTCTCCACCCTTTTCATCCCCGCACCCCGTCCACGCTTTTGAGTCGACTCAAAAGCACTTCCTCTTCCTCATGCTCTCCACCCTTTTCATCCCCGCACCCCGTCCACGCTTTTGAGTCGACTCAAAAGCACTTTCTCTTCCTCATGCTCTCCACCCTTTTCATCCCCGCACCCCGTCCACGCTTTTGAGTCGACTCAAAAGCACTTCCTCTTCCTCATGCTCTCCACCCTTTTCATCCCCGCACCCCGTCCACGCTTTTGAGTCGACTCAAAAGCACTTCCTCTTCCTCATGCTCTCCACCCTTTTCATCCCCGCACCCCGTCCACGCTTTTGAGTCGACTCAAAAGCACTTCCTCTTCCTCATGCTCTCCACCCTTTTCATCCCCGCACCCCGTCCACGCTTTTGAGTCGACTCAAAAGCACTTCCTCTTCCTCATGCTCTCCACTCTTTTCATCCCCGCACCCCGTCCACGCTTTTGAGTCGACTCAAAAGCACTTCCTCTTCCTCATGCTCTCCACCCTTTTCATCCCCGCACCCCGTCCACGCTTTTGAGTCGACTCAAAAGCACTTTCTCTTCCTCATGCTCTCCACCCTTTTCATCCCCGCACCCCGTCCACGCTTTTGAGTCGACTCAAAAGCACTTTCTCTTCCTCATGCTCTCCACCCTTTTCATCCCCGCACCCCGTCCACGCTTTTGAGTCGACTCAAAAGCACTTCCTCTTCCTCATGCTCTCCACCCTTTTCATCCCCGCACCCCGTCCACGCTTTTGAGTCGACTCAAAAGCACTTTCTCTTCCTCATGCTCTCCACCCTTTTCATCCCCGCACCCCGTCCACGCTTTTGAGTCGACTCAAAAGCACTTCCTCTTCCTCATGCTCTCCACCCTTTTCATCCCCGCACCCCGTCCACGCTTTTGAGTCGACTCAAAAGCACTTTCTCTTCCTCATGCTCTCCACCCTTTTCATCCCCGCACCCCGTCCACGCTTTTGAGTCGACTCAAAAGCACTTCCTCTTCCTCATGCTCTCCACCCTTTTCATCCCCGCACCCCGTCCACGCTTTTGAGTCGACTCAAAAGCACTTTCTCTTCCTCATGCTCTCCACCCTTTTCATCCCCGCACCCCGTCCACGCTTTTGAGTCGACTCAAAAGCACTTCCTCTTCCTCATGCTCTCCACCCTTTTCATCCCCGCACCCCGTCCACGCTTTTGAGTCGACTCAAAAGCACTTTCTCTTCCTCATGCTCTCCACCCTTTTCATCCCCGCACCCCGTCCACGCTTTTGAGTCGACTCAAAAGCACTTCCTCTTCCTCATGCTCTCCACCCTTTTCATCCCCGCACCCCGTCCACGCTTTGAGTCGACTCAAAAGCACTTCCTCTTCCTCATGCTCTCCACCCTTTTCATCCCCGCACCCCGTCCACGCTTTTGAGTCGACTCAAAAGCACTTTCTCTTCCTCATGCTCTCCACCCTTTTCATCCCCGCACCCCGTCCACGCTTTTGAGTCGACTCAAAAGCACTTCCTCTTCCTTATGCTCTCCACCCTTTTCATCCCCGCACCCCGTCCACGCTCCTACCTTTCTGCACTATTTGCCCTTCCCCCCTGATGTCAACAGCCTTGCCTCTCCCCCCATTCTCCTGCCTTGCCCATCAGCAGCAACCCCTCAGGCGGTAGTAAGGACGGCAGCCGCAGCAGCAGCGCCAGCAACGCCCACCGCGCCACGCTCCCCATGGGCTCTGCGCCACCACCGCTGCACCGCACGTCTGAGCCGCCCCCGCCCTCCCACACCCAGCCCTCCACACCCCTGCTCTTCGCCCCGCCTCCCCCCCTCCCACCCACCATGCAACTCGCCCCGCCCTCCCAGCCCGTGCAGCAGCAGTTGCAAGGGCAGCACAAGAGAGGCTCAGGGCTGGGGCTGGTGCACAAAGGGGATGAGGGAGAGAGTGAGGATGGGCAGGGGGAGGGGCAAGGAGAGGGGCGGGAGGAGGTGAGTGGGTTTGGCGCGAGCTGCCTGTCCCCGCCGGGCAGCATTGGCCGCTGGACGCTGCAGGGTAAGCCGCCCCCGCCCATGGCCCTCTTTATGGACGGGGGGAGTGGCGTGACGTCCGCACGGGATAGTTTGGCATCAGGAAGAGGCAGTGCCACGTCAGCGAGGGGCGGAGGGGAGGTGCAGCATGTGGGTGCGTTGCAGTCGCTGTGTGGCAGTGTGCGGGCGAGCAGGGCAGGGGAGACTGCCAGCAAACACCGATATGTGAGCACACCGGGTCCCACCTCTCCCACACCGGGTCCCACCTCTCCCTCTCCTCCCCACCTCTCCCTCTCCTCCCCACCTCTCCCTCTCCTCCCCACCTCTCCCTCTCCTCCCACCTCTCCCTCTCCTTCCCACTTCCCCATCTCCTCCCCACCTCTCCCTCTCCTCTCCACCTCTCCCTCTCCTCCCCACCTCTTCCTCTCCTCTCCGCTGCCCCTCCTTCCCTTGCTCCCAACCTGTCCCTCTCAATTCCACCTGTCCCTCTCATTTCCACCAATCCTTCTGCTTCCCATCGTTCATTTGTCACTCTCCTACTCGTATCGCCCACCAGAGTCCTATCCCTTGCCTTACAATCATTGCTCCTTTTCCACAAAGAGCTATTCTCCCACGTTTCCCTTCCGTTGATCCCTCTCTTGCACTTGTCGCTCTCCTTGTGCCAATCCATCTCTTTTTCGCTTCCCCTCCATTTCCGTTCTCCACCTACTCGCTCATTCGTTCTCCACCTACTCGCTCATTCGTTCTCCACCTACTCGCTCATTCGTTCTCCACCTACTCGCTCATTCGTTCTCCACCTACTCGCTCATTCGTTCTGCTCATCTGCTATACCCCATCTCCATCCTCTCCCTCTCCTCCCCCATTTCATCCCATGGCTCCGCCTGCCTTGTGCCCCTCCCATCCTTCCGTCCCACCCTGCGAATCAACCCCATCCTTTTCTCCAGCTTCAGACCCACACCTCCCTCACTCTGCCTCCTCAAACTCTGCTCCATCCCCCCATCCCGCATCCCCCCATCCCGCATCCCCCCATCCCGCATCCCCCCATTCCCCCATCCCCCCATTTCCCCATCCCCCCATCCCCCATCCCGCCATCCGCCCACCCCCCAGGCGTCCCCCATCCGCGCGGAGGACCTGGAGTGCCCGGTGCCGCTGGCAGCGCTGGCGAGGAGTCTGCAGCACACGCCGCTCAGTGGGGACGAGGTCGACGTGCTTCCCCCGCCCTCGCCCCACCGCACCTCTTGCACTCCCAGCGGCGCCCAGGGCACCGGTGGCAGCAGCAGCACTGCTCTCACCGCGTCCACAGCAGCCAGCAGCACGAGCGGCAACAGCGGGTCTCCTTCCCCTCACATGAGTGGCTGCATGGATTGTGGGCGGTGGAGCATGCACCACAACCCCATGGCTGCCCGCGGCCTCACATGTGAGGCGCCTCCCAGCAGGTTCGGTGTGCCTGGAGTTACTGCGAGTGGGGAACACGTGGCAGAGAGTGCTGTGGTCAAACCTGCACCTGCCACTACCACTGAACCTGCTGATGCTGATGATGCTGTCACTGGTGGTGCAGGCGAGGGCGCGTGGGAGGAGGAGGTGCAGCAGGAGGTGAGGGTGCTGGAGGCGAGTGAGAGGGAGCAGCAGCAGGCCGTGGCACAGCTGGAGCAGTACGTGGAGGAGGTGGGGGAGGGGAGGGGCGAGGAGAGGGAGGGAGGTGCATGCGTTGAGGAGGTGGAGGGAGGAGAGGAGTGTGGAGGGAGAGGCAATGCGGTGGGGGCTGGCACAGAGGGGAGGGAGGACGCAGAGGGGAAGGGAAAGGGCCAAGGGCAGGAGTGTGAATCAGTGAGTGAGGCAGTGGGGGTTGGGGCGAAGTTGAGGCAAGGAGGGAGCAGCGAGGCGTGCAGCGGTGGTGAGGCGCGTGCTGTGCGTGCGAGTGTGAGTGGCGGTGGTGGCGGGATGAGCAGCGGTCACAGCAGACAGGCCGAGCGACAAGTGGGGAAGGGAGAGATCTGTGACGGGGAATGGAGCCGCGAGACCACTGCTGGGGACTGCGACACGGATGGGGGTGAGGGGGAGGACGGAGAGGAGGGGGGAGGTGAGGTGGTGGAGGGGAGGGGAGTGAGGGCGTGGGTGGTGGCGACGGTGACAGCATTGGAGAGGGCGGTGGAGGGGGTGTTGCAGATGGTGCTGCTGGCTGCCGTGGTGCTGCTGCTGGCCGTGCTGGGGGGCAGGCTGGCAGCCGTGGTGCACACTGAGGGTGGCGATGTCCATGACTTCGTGCCCACCTAGCTGGCCTCCTGCTGCCCACCTAGCTGCCCTCCTGCTACCCCACGCCCCTCCGCTCCTGCTCAGTGCTCCACTCCCCGCCCTGTCATGCTGCCCCCCTCGCATGCGAGGCCACGAGCAGCCCACCATGTTCATAGTACCGCACCTCAGCTGACACACACTGACACCTGATGCAGCCCTCATGACAGCACCTGAAAATCAAAGCCCCTGACAGCACCTGAAAACCAAAGCCCCTGACAGCACCTGAAAACCAAAGCCCCTGACAGCACCTGAAAACCAAAGCCCCTGACAGCACCTGAAAACCAAAGCCCCTGACAGCACCTGAAAACCGAAGTCCCTGAGAGCACCTGAGAAACATTCAAGGACTCCTGCGATGACCACGGCTTGCAATTTTTCCTAATGTGAGGTCCCTCTTTTTGTCGCCGGAACCAGTGTCTGTCAAGGAACGATGCACCCACAACGCGCCCATCAACTCGCCCATCAACGCAACCATCATGTAGCCATCCAATGCTAACAATACGCCTCACTGCTTGGATCCATGCACTCTCTTCTAACCCTCTCATCGTTGTGAAAGCCATCCCCCTTGTTCCTGGTGGCACTGGTCTAAGGATTTGCACTTGATTGTAGACACTCTTTAGCGAGTTCCTTCCGAGGCCTTCACAGCTGCTGGTTCGGCCTACAATTTCGCCCCGAACCACTCGCGAGGCGCCACCGCACCTCTCGGCACTTCGAAACCAAACCGACCACCTCGCCTAGCTCGTTTCTGTTGGAAATAAGAAGTCGCTAGAGCGCAGCGGAAGCTCTAGGAATTAACGACGTCCCTACGGCGGGGCTATTGGTCACTCAGAGGTAGCTCTCCTGGCTTGTAACGTGGTGCCAAAGCAGCGGCCGAGGGTAGGCCGGACACAAGCTTGAGAATTGTGTAATATGAGCAAGGCATTACATTCTGTTATATAGCAAACGCATAGGGCAAACAGTTACCAAAGCGCAACTGTATAACTGTTGCGCTGCGTCGCTTGGGTTGCCTTGTTACAGTCGCGACTTTTCAGCTTCGGCAAGGGCGCGGTATCCTGCCGCGCCCCACAGGTCAGTTTCGCGTACTGTAGACGATGACTCCTGCTGTCGATTCGACTCTTGAGCTGCCACGCGGGTCGCAACCGCTGTGTTCGGTTGCGGCCCGTTGACTCGCCACCAGGTTCAAATTCCTCTTTGTGGCGAGCCCCTGTAAGCACACTTCGAACAGTGCACTTATAATAAAAGCATACAAACATATTCTCAACAGTTTCCACATTTTTTAACCTATTATATCATTCGGTAGGTTACAGTAAGAAATTCTGTGTTTTCCCAACTTTGAGTTCGCTGATAAGTATCCATTCGAGCGAACTGGCAACGCATCAAATAGGAATTGCGTCGGCGCCACTGAAATAGTGCCGAAGCCACCTTGAAGCGGATCACGCGCACCGACTCGTCTGTCCTAAGGAAAGCCGCAGATTCCGCGTCGGAAGGCCAGAATTGCTGAGCGCCACGAAAAGCTCGTCCATTTCTGTGAGAGTGTGAGCTGCCTCGCAGCACATGCGGCGCACGCGAATTGCACCCGCTCGCGTCCGCCGTCAGCACCGAGCCTTGCGCGCGCCCCGCTGCGATCCGCACCATGGAAGCCCTCGTTGCCTCCGACAACACTCAAAGCACGGACGGCCGGCCATCGTCGTTGTCGCTCGCTGAACCTGAACCGTCCGTCTGTCTCCACGTGGCGTTGCCTGATGGCTTCTCCCTCCCCGCCGCCGTTTGCAGCTACGGATTCTTTATGATGGCGCCGACCGTCTGGATTCCGCCACGTGTCAGTGAATCAACGGCACAAGAGGGGCTGGGAGTGAAGAGCGAGGCAGAGGAGGCGGCGGGAGAACCAGGGAGCGCGGAAGGAGGCAGGCGGGAGGCGGGGGATGGGCGGGAGGGGGCGGAGGGGAGCGGGACAGCCGAGAGGAAAGGGCTCGATGAGGAGGGGGAGCGGGGGAGCAGTGGGAACGCATGGGGAGGGGGAGAGCAAGCATGGGGAGCGATGGAGCGGCCGCTGAGGCTGGCTGATGGGCGAGCAGTGATGGTGCGAATCACACAGCATGGCGCTGCTGACGTCACACACCATGGCGCTGCTGACGTCACACACCATGGCGCTGCTGACGTCACACAGCATGGCGCTGCTGACGTCACACACCATGGCACTGCTGACGTGACACAGCATGGCGCTGCTGACGTCACACAACATTGCAGTGCTGACGTCACACAGCATGACGCTGCTGACGTCTTGGAACGTTCCAGTGGCGACGGCAGCGGAGGCGTGAAGGAGGAGCCTGTTGACGCCCTGTGCGACACGCATGCCCCCACCGCCATCAGAAGCGCCACTGCTGATGCTGCTGCTGCTGGCAGTGGTACGAGAGTGGCGGTGCGGCAAGGCACATGGCTGCGAGTGAGGGTGATGGGGTTGGCGCGCATCACTGCAGCGGACCATGCACACCTGCTCGTGAGCCCTTGGACAGTCCATCCATGCACCGCGGGCCTGCTAACCACCCCTTGTCATCCCTCTCCTCCGCTGCTGCTTGCTGCTCCCCTCACCCTTCTTGCCCCCTCTGCTCGCCACGCCTTGCCATCCTCGCCCGCCCTCACCTCTCGTCCATCTCACTCACTAACCACTCCCACACTAGATCCGCCCCACACTAGATCCGCCCCACACTAGATCCGCCCCACACTAGATCCGCCCCACACTAGATCCGCCCCACACTAGATCCGTCCCTCTCATGTGGGCTGTCCCTCTCATCCCGCGCGCTGTCCTCCCTACGCGCATCGCCGCCAACCTCACGTGCACCCATTGCCGCACCTCCGTCCCGCCCGCGCCTGCCCTCTCACCACCCCTGCAGGCGCAGGTGAGGCGCATGCTGCGGCTGTCACCCACCTGCCAGGCCGCCGTGCACGCCTTCCACCGCCGCCACCCCGCCGCCGCTGCTGCCGGCTTTGGGCGGCTCTTCCGGTCGCCGTCGCTCTTTGAGGACATCGTGAAGGCGCAGCTGCTGTGCAACTGTGAGTGAAGGCGCAGCTGCTGTGCAACTGTGAGTGAAGGCGCAGCTGCTGTGCAACTGTGAGTGAAGGCGCAGCTGCTGTGCAACTGTGAGTGAAGGCGCAGCTGCTGTGCAACTGTGAGTGAAGGCGCAGCTGCTGTGCAACTGTGAGTGAAGGCGCAGCTGCTGTGCAACTGTGAGTGAAGGCGCAGCTGCTGTGCAACTGTGAGTGAAGGCGCAGCTGCTGTGCAACTGTGAGCCCAACGCCACCCATGTCTCTGCAAGGTCTGCGGGTTTGGCGTCCCATGCTCTCTGCTCTTCTTCCCCGTGGGTCCTTTCCCCCGTCCTTCCTCTTCTGTCTCTTTCTCCACCTACCAAGGCCCCCGCCCTTCACATCACCGCCCCTCACACCGCCCGGCTTCCATGCTGTGCTGTGCTGTGCTGTGCGGTGCTGAGTGTGGTATGCAGGTGGGTGGGGCAGGAGTCTGGCCATGGCACGTGCGCTCTGCCTCTTGCACCGCCACCACTTCGGCCCTCCCATCGGTGCACGCGGTGAGCCCTCCATGTCCTCCTGTCTGCACCGCTGGCCTCTCTCCCAGTGCAGGCCGGCCAGGCGTGTGTGCTGGCACGACACGGCTCCACTCCACCCGAAACGTTAAGGTGGGGGCAAGATGTGCCACGGCACGGAGCATGCGGTGCCGGAGAGGTGCGGTGGAGGTGGGGGGAGACGAGGCGATGAGCGACCTCCTCTGAGGAGCGACCCAGTGGGGTGCCGTCACGCCAACCACACTTCACTGCTCACTTGCTACCAAGCACACGCATTGCCTCGCTGCTGCCTCACCCCTACCTGCTCTCTCTCTGTCTCCTGCCATAACCACTGTTTTTCCTCCTCCCATTTGCAGATTCGCCTGACTGTGTTGGCGCTTTTCCCGAGCCTCACGAGCTCGCGGGCTTGGAGATACCATACCTAACCAGCAGGTGCGGGCTGGGGTACCGAGGCCCACGGATTGCCAAGCTGGCAGCTGACGTGGCATCTGGTACCATTGACCTGGAAGCACTCCAGAGGGACTGCCTGCTGGAGAATCCGCCAAGCGGCTGTGACATGGCAGCAGTAGGTGCGGAGAGGGAGATGGCAGGGCAGGCGGGTGTGGGAGGCGGGGAGGGCAGCGAGCAGGCAGACAAAGGAGTGGAGATGAGAGGGGCAGACGATGTGGGAGTGGATGCGAGGAGAGGGGCTGGCAGGAGGAAGAGGAGGAGGAAATTGGAGGACGATGGGCGTGAGTTGAACGGAGTGGAGGCAGCAGAGGAGGCGCAGACGCTTGTGGCACGTGAGGACAGCAGCGCTGCAGCTCGCAAGGGGGGGGGCTGCCATGGCACTGCGCCATTGACTCACACCGCCATCAAGGGCAGGAGGCAAGCAGACAGGCGGGGGAGGGCGGGGAGTGCGACGGACAAGGAAGAGGAGGTGGGGTGGGAGGAGGCGGTGAGGCAGAGGGTGCAGCGCTTGCCGGGGTTTGGGCCATTCTCATCGGCCAACGCGCTGCAGTGCATGGGCGTCTTCTGCTTCGTGCCCGCTGACTCCGAAACCATCCGCCACCTCAAGGTGCGTGCCGCCTGCCAAGGTCTGTGCCGCCCTGCATTGTGGCAAGGCAAGCACTCTTGAAGCCAGGGTGGTGCAGTGTGACTCATGACTTGGAGAATGCTGTGCACTCGAACAGTGCAGTATGCAATCAAGCCGCAAGGCGCACAGCAATAAACGATCCTCAGAAAGTCCATTCTTTATATTATAAACGCTACATCACAGCGCATGTCACCACAGCACGTGTGGCACGCTGCCCGTCCCCCTGGTGCAGGCGAGGGGGCATGCGGGGTGCACGGCTGGCACGGTGGATGCACTGGCAGCACGAGCGTACGCCACCCACGCGCCCTTCCAGTTCCTCGCCTACTGGTAAGCTGCCCTGTGCCATGCCCACATGATGTGCCCTGTGCCATGCCCACATGATGTGCCCTGTGCCATGCCCACATGATGTGCCCTGTGCCATGCCCACATGATGTGCCCTGTGCCATGCCCACATGATGTGCCCTGTGCCATGCCCACATGATGTGCCCTGTGCCATGCCCACATGATGTGCCCTCATGCCTCTCCTTGATTCTTTAGACCATGCCTCAGGCTCACACCATGCCTCACACCATGCCTCACACGTGTGTTGTGCATATCGCTTGTTTGAAAGTCCATGGCAGGCAGAGCGCATGTGTGACACGTGGCTCCACCCTGCCGGATGCGAACCCACTGCTTACTCTCAAGCGCCTCACACTCCCTCACTTTCACTTGCCCCTGCTCACACCACTCCCTGCATGTCCCTGCCGTGCTCTGCTCATGTCGCCGTGCTCCACTCGCTCTGCTGTGCGCTGCTCCGCTGCTGTCGCGGTGGGGGGGCGGCATGGCAGGTGGGACATATGGGGCGAGTACGAGCGGGTGTTTGGCCCCATGGCGCACCTGCCCTCATCGCGCTACCCTGCCATCACGGGCCACAGCATGCGCGCGGCTGGGGGCGCTGGGGGGGTGGGCAGGGGAGCTGGGGGTAAGGTGAGTGATGGTGGGGGCAGTGATGCGGTGGAGGGCAAGGCGGGTGGTGGTGGCGGCGGTGGTGGTGTGATGGTGAGCGCTCAGCGCCGCCGCACTGGCAGGCGCCGCTCACACGGTGAGTCTAGCAGCCCGCCCACACGCTCCCCTGGTGATGCAGAGGGGGGTGGCGGGGTAGATGAGGGGGGTGCAGGGAGAGGCCGAAGAGGTGGTGAGTCATGTGGAGATACGGCATCAGCTGGAGTGGTGAGTGCTGCGGGAGAGGTAGCAGCAGTCGTGGATGCGGCTGCTGCTGCTGTGGAAGACACTGCTGATGGCAGGGTGTGTGTGCAGTGCAGTGCAGCAGGCATGGGCGTGCGGCGCAGCAGGCGGGTCATGGCACAACGCAGTCAGCGCGGCAGTGCGAGTGGCACGGCCGCCTGTAGTGCCTGCTCAGCGCGGAGCCGTGGTGTGGAGCAGCAAGGGGCGGAGCGGAAGAGCCGGGAGCGTGGCAGTGGCAAGGGGAGGAGGCGAGGGCACAGCGGTGGGGGTGAGAGGGGTGGGGACATGGGTGTGGGGCGAATTCAAGGGCCGGTTGGCGGGGGGAGGAGAGGCAGTGCTGCAGTGGGGAGGGGGCGAAGAAGGGGGAGGAGTGAGTTAGAGAGGGATGAGGTGGGAGGGAGTGAAGGGGGCGAGGAGAGCGGAGGCGAGGCGGGGATGGAGATGGTGGTGCGGAGTGGTGAAGAGGAAGGGCGTGAGTGTGTGTGTGCAGAGGCAGTGCAGGCGGATCAGCAGCCGAGAAAGATTGGCCCAGGGCAGCAAGGGGGTGGGCAGCAGGAGGGCGAGGAGCAGGGGGGCAGGCAGGTATGGGTGCAAGGGGAGCTGCAAGCAGGAAGCTTCCACACAGGAGGCGAGGTGGGAGTGGCAGCTGCGTGGGTGATGGATGATGGCAGGTGGGCAGGAGGAGATGGAGAGTGGGAAGGGCAGGCCAAGCCAAGAGGGGGTGGTGGCAAGGCACCGCCCAAACAGGCGCCTGCTGCTGTAGGCGTGCAGCACTGCCAGCCACGGCCGTGGTGGATTGGTCGTCTAACAGCCTTTTCCCCGCCTGCTGTGCTCTCCCCTGTGAAGGTGCCCTGCTCCACAGGCCGCACATGCCACACGCACCTGCGTGCACCACCATGCATGCGGTACCTTCCTGCGTGCGGCGACGAATCACGGTTGGGGAAAGCTCTGGAAGGTCTTCGTACCCAGGCTCCCCTTGCCTCCCCTTCCTTTTTGGCATCAAGCCTTGTTTCCACAGAGTGAAATCTACTAAGTGTACGTAAGACAAGTCCAGGGGGGTGTCCAGTGAATGCGTTTACCATTCAGGCTTCATGGCTCATGATGGTTCCCCGCGGTGGAAAGCAGTTACTGAGATACACTGTTTTGCGTCAGGATGCAACAACAAAACGAACAAGAAACGGAACATAAGGGCGGGTCCAACTTTGCACATGTACAATAATTTTTTAGCTCAGTTACCACATTTCGGCATGTACCGTATCCCCCCGGATATACCCCCATGGGGGGCAATAATAAAACAGGTTTTTTCATGGGGGTGGGCTTATAATCGAGTAAATTTATAAGCGCCGGCGTTTATAAAATGACATACATATTTTTTTATATCTTTTAACACCAAACTGTAGGTCTCGTGCTTGCCTTTTCAATCGAGTCGAAGTTACATGGGATCGTCTGTGAAATTCTCGCGCGCGCTGGGAGATACACCCAATCTGACTCACATCCAGCTCCTGACAGGTCCTGCTGACTGGACCCGCATCCAGTGCAGGGTCCGAATGTGAAGGGAACCGATTCTGCAACATATCCGCCTGCTAAAGTAAAAATCGTTACAGCTTTTTGAACACATTTCAAATTTTAAAGTTTACGTGCGCTTATAATAAAACAAGTTTTTTCAAGGGGTGCGCTTATAATCGAGGAGGGGATATAAGCGCCATATGCCAATTAGAAGCGCCAGGCGCTTATCCTAGGGTGGCGCTTATATCCGGGGGGAGACGGTACCGTAACAGAACTACAAATGTACCAGAATCCATTTGACGCGAGACAGTACATACGGTATATGATGACATTTCGAAAACGTGCCCGGGGACGTGCAGAACACATCCGAAGGTTAACGTCAAACTCGTTTCGCGTCAAACACCCCAGAAGGTAACACCTTGTTTCGCTAATTTGTTTTCGCCAATAAATCCCCCCTCTGTCACAGGTGCAAAAAACCTCGCTTTATTGGGTAACCCCTCATTCCAGGTACTGTACCCCGCAGCGTTACTGTACCTTGTCAAAAGTCCAAATTGTGCACTCGGAACTGGACAGGAAATGTTTGGAGTTCGCACTGGGGTACAGTCAAGTATGACTAGTGCATTGACGTAAAAATAACGAAAAAAACGGGAGTGTGCAAAGTTGGACCCGCCCTAAGCACTGGACGTCACTAGGTAGCTTCTTGGAAATTGCTAATAGTCCAGCAGGTGTGGTGACTGCATCTGCTCTGCTGTCAAATTCTAGAATTTTCTGACCCTCCGATGAGAAACTTGGACCCTCAGATGAAGCTTTTAGTATCCAATCGAACCATCACTTTGTCCCATAAGTATGCCTGTCAGCAGTATGGACATCCACTGTGAATACTGCGCAGCCTATGCCGTGTATGGGGAGCACGAGGGAGGGATGAGAGGACGAGGACATGTGTGCAGCCCAGAGTGTGGACGAGGAGAATGAACAGCGCACAGCATCAGGCGGGGATGGGCTCGAGCTGCTGCACCTTCTTCCACGCGGGGCGGGACGAGATGCGCTCCCACCACTGCGCCACGTTGGGGCGCGACGTGATGAGATCACCGGCGCCGGCATGGAAGAGGATCTCGGTGTACGGCAGGTGCGTGAGGTCCGCTAGCGTGCAGCGCCCACCCACCAGGTACTGGCGCCCCTCCAGGTGCTTCTCGTAGATGTCAAACAGCCGCCCCAGCTGCCAGGGCGAGCACGGGCAGGCGAGGGGGTTGAGAGGGCATTAGAGTGGTTATGAGGTGTGTGAGGGGGAGGGCAGCTCGCACAGCACTAACACCCAGGCCTCACCAGCCCCAGCCCCAGCCCCAGCCCCAGCCCCAGCCCCAGCCCCAGCTCTCCTCCCAAGCCTCTAATCCTCCCCATCGCCCCAACTCATACCCCATCCTCTCCCCATCTGAGCCATGCTCCCACCGCCATCCCATCTCTCACCTTCTCAATGGCTGCATCAGCGCGCGCCTTGTCGGGCTCGCCCTTGCCCATGAGGCGTTTGAGGAAGTTCTCCTCCACCACCACGGCCACCTGCTCCGTCACGCTGTGCGCCTCCACGTCCGTCCACTGGCTCACCTCCGCGCGCTCCCACACGTCCGCCCCCACCAGGTTCGGGCGCCCCTCCGCGTACTTCTCCGCTATGTACCGCATGATGGCGCGCGACTCTGGGGGGAGATGGAGGAACACACAGCACACACAGCACACACAGCACACACAGCACACACAGCACACACAGCACACACAGCACACACAGCACACACAGCACACACAGCACACACAGCACGCACAGCACGCACAGCACGCACAGCACGCACAGCACGCACAGCACACACAGCACGCACAGAGCTGGTGTGACGCCTCTTGGGGACCGGAGGGCGAGCTCCGACGCTCCGTTACGTGCTACTTGTTCTTCCTCGGTCCGTCACTCATCTCTTGGCAGTCCAAACGTCAAGCTGTCGTCGCTACCTCCTCATGTGAAGCTGAATACTATTCTCTGGGCGCCGCGGTGCATGACGCCTTATGGCTTCGATCCCTCCTTACTGCACTTGGACTTCCCCCACCCGGCCCCACCCGCATCTCGTGTGACAACAGCGCCGCCATCATTCTGCCCAAGGACGACGGCGTCTTTCATCCCAAGGCCAAACACATCGACATCAAGCACCATTTCATTCGTGATCATGTCGCCGACCACTCCGTCACCCTTCACTATGTTCCTACTCAAGACAACCTCGCTGACATTGGCACCAAACCTTTGCCCCGTGACCCTTTTCTACGCATCCGTGGTCTTCTCGGTCTCACCCATGTCTCCGCTTGAAGAACCCTACCCCGGGGACATCCTTGAGGGGGAGTGTTGTGCAGCAAATATGTCCCGGAGGGTAGATTCTCACCTGTGGTCTTAGAGGTTGTGGGTTCAATTCTCAGTAGCTGCAGGTTCCCTTCTCATTATGCTCCACATTACATGTCCACACTCTACCACACTCCACCACAGTGAAGTGTGGTCACAGCTGGCATTGCCACCTGTCCACTCATCCCACACTCACCTTGCTGGCCTCTATGGTGTGCCATATGCTGTCATGTGGGTTGTTGTTCCAGCCTGGCCCACATGTGCAACATGTGGCCTCACTTGCTAGCTTGGCAAGGTTGGCTAGCCTAGCCCTCAGTATTGAGGTGCTGCAGCTAGCCTCAAGAGTTCAGCCACATATATGTGGCTTCCCACTTCACTAGGGATTATCCTTGACAAGGACCTTGCTCTAGTCTTTAAGACTTGTACCATTTTCTTGCTAAGGAGATTTCTTCTTCCTATCGTGCCCTAAGTTCACCGATCCACTTTCTTCAGCACGCACAGCACGCACAGCACGCACAGCACACACAGCACACACAGCACGCACAGCACGCACAGCACGCACAGCACGCACAGCACGCACAGCACACACAGCACACACAGCACACACAGCACGCACAGCACGCACAGCACGCACAGCACACACAGCACGCACAGCACACACAGCACACACAGCACACACAGCACACACAGCACACACAGCACGCACAGCACACACAGCACACACAGCACACACAGCACGCACAGCACGCACAGCACACACAGCACACACAGCACACACAGCACACACAGCACGCACAGCACGCACAGCACACACAGCACGCACAGCACACACAGCACGCACAGCACGCACAGCACACACAGCACGCACAGCACGCACAGCACACACAGCACGCACAGCACACACAGCACGCACAGCACACACAGCACGAACAGCACACACAGCACGCACAGCACACACAGCACGCACAGCACACACAGCACGCACAGCACGCACAGCACGCACAGCACACACAGCACGCACAGCACACACAGCACGCACAGCACACACAGCACGGACACCACCCACAGCACGCATAGCACGCACAGCACGCACAGCACGCACAGCACACACAGCACGCACAGCACGCACAGCACGCACAGCACACACAGCACACACAGCACGCACAGCACGCACATCACACACAGCACACACAGCACGCACAGCACACACAGCACGCACAGCACGCACAGCACGCACAGCACACACAGCACGCACAGCACGCACAGCACGCACAGCACACACGGCACACACAGCACACACAGCACACACAGCACACACAGCACGCATAGCACGCACAGCACGCACAGCACGCACAGCACACACAGCACACACAGCACGCACAGCACACACAGCACACACAGCACACACAGCACGCACAGCACACACAGCACACACAGCACGCACAGCACACACAGCACACACAGCACACACAGCACACACAGCACACACAGCACACACAGCACGCACAGCAAGCACAGCACACACAGCACGCACAGCACACACAGCACGCACAGCACACACAGCACGCACAGCACACACAGCACGCATAGCACACACAGCACGCACAGCACGTACAGCACACACAGCACGCACAGCACGCACAGCACACACAGCACGCACAGCACACACAGCACGCACAGCACGCACAGCACGCACAGCACACACAGCACGCACAGCACGCACAGCACACACAGCACGCACAGCACGCACAGCACGCACAGCACGCACAGCACGCACAGCACACACAGCACACACAGCACGCACAGCACACACAGCACACACAGCACACACAGCACGCACAGCACGCACAGCACGCACAGCACACACAGCACGCACAGCACGCACAGCACACACAGCACGCACAGCACGCCCAGCACGCACAGCACGCACAGCACACACAGCACGCACAGCACACACAGCACACACAGCACGCACAGCACGCACAGCACGCACAGCACACACAGCACACACAGCACGCACAGCACACACAGCACACACAGCACGCACAGCACGCACAGCACACACAGCACACACAACACACACAGCACGCACAGCACACACAGCACGCACAGCACGCACAGCACGCACAGCACGCACAGCACGCACAGCACACACAGCACACACAGCACGCACAGCACACACAGCACACACAGCACACACAGCACACACAGCACGCACAGCACGCACAGCATGCACAGCACGCACAGCACACACAGCACGCACAGCACACACAGCACACACAGCACGCACAGCACGCACAGCACGCACAGCACGCACAGCACACACTGCACGCACTGCACGCACAGCACGCACAGCACACACAGCACACACAGCACGCACAGCACGCACAGCACGCACAGCACGCACAGCACACACAGCACACACAGCACGCACAGCACACACAGCACACACAGCACGCACAGCACGCACAGCACACACAGCACACACAGCACGCACAGCACGCACAGCACACACAGCACACACAGCACACACAGCACGCACAGCACACACAGCACGCACAGCACACACAGCACACACAGCACACACAGCACACACAGCACGCACAGCACACACAGCACTCACAGCACGCACAGCACGCACAGCACACACAGCACACACAGCACACACAGCACACACAGCACACACAGCACACACAGCACAAACATCACGCACAGCACACACAGCACACACAGCACACACAGCACACACAGCACGCACAGCACACACAGCACGCACAGCACGCACAGCACGCACAGCACGCACAGCACACACAGCACACACAGCACGCACAGCACGCACAGCACACACAGCACGCACAGCACGCACAGCAAACACAGCACGCACAGCACGCACAGCACGCACAGCACACACAGCACACACAGCACACACAGCACACACAGCACGCACAGCACACACAGCACGCACAGCACGCACAGCACACACAGCACGCACAGCACGCACAGCACGCACAGCACGCACAGCACACACAGCACGCACAGCACACACAGCACACACAGCACGCACAGCACGCACAGCACGCACAGCACACACAGCACACACAGCACGCACAGCACACACAGCACACACAGCACGCACAGCACGCACAGCACACACAGCACACACAGCACACACAACACACACAGCACGCACAGCACACACAGCACGCACAGCACGCACAGCACGCACAGCACGCACAGCACGCGCAGCACGCACAGCACACACAGCACACACAGCACGCACAGCACACACAGCACGCACAGCACCCACAGCACGCACAGCACGCACAGCACGCACAGCACGCACAGCACGCACAGCACGCACAGCACGCACAGCACACACAGCACACACAGCACGCACAGCACGCACAGCACGCACAGCACGCACAGCACACACAGCACACACAGCACGCACAGCACGCACAGCAAACACAGCACGCACAGCACGCACAGCACGCACAGCACGCACAGCACACACAGCACGCACAGCACGCACAGCACGCAGTGATGGGGAGAGAAGGCGCAGATGCGTGTGTGAGTGGAGACAGCATGCCATGCATTTATGTGACGGCTCTGCGCTCTACTTCCTTCCAACTTTCACGTCTGCCCTTCGCCGAACAACAGCACACCCATTCACAGCATCTTGATCAAGCATTCGAGTAACAGCGCGATTGTAAGGGGGGTGCAAACGAGGGGTGGTGCGAAGGTTGGTTAGCGACCGTAGAGAATGACTGACCTTGCATAGCAAACCGCTCAGATGCTGGCACATGTGAAAACAGAGGCGATAAAATATGAAACATTGACACAGTTGGCAGACGTTTGAGAGCAGAGCGGTAAGAAGAGGCGGGCAGCCCTTGCACTGACCATTGAGGTAGCGGCCGTTGTCGTCCAGCACTGGCATCTTGCCGAACGGCTGGCAGCACGAGCCAAGGGGAGGAGCAGGGGGAGATGCGGAGAGCGAGAGTGAGACGGATGAGAGGGTGTGCACGAACACGACTGCACCAATTAACATTCGCAACTAACGCCATGCCATGACACAGCACTACACTACACCTTCGCACCGAATGGGACACCACTCCGAATGCTGCTTACGCGCCTTCGACTCTCAATAACAATCCTCTCCATCCGTAATGCATCATTGACAGCCGTTACTGCAGACATAGAGTGTCCGTATCCGCCGCGACGCATCACACCCATCCCCTATCCCCGCTACGAGATGCTTCCATGTGCTCCACTCACGCACGTTCATGGCGAGGAACTCGGGCGTCTTGTTGTCGCCCTTGCTCGTGTTCACCACCTTCATCTCGAAATCCTGCCGGGGGGAAGGGGGGGAGACACGGTTGCGTGACTCGGACTGCTGGCGAGGCATGGCAAGCGATGAATGCCGCCGCGCACTCACGAATACAGAAACCAGCATGACGACAGTCCGTAGCGGAGCAACGAAGTCGACAAATCGACATGCCTGGACAGATACCACGATCAGGAATTCCCATCGCGCATGTGGCCATGGCGCTCACCTCGACGCCCATCTCATAGAGCGTCAGCAGCACGCGACGCACGAACGGCGAGTGCACGTGGCCGTAGAGCGTCAGTCCCGTGCCCATCTTCGAGATGCGTGGTTCCCCTGTTGGAACACTGATTATGTGATCTGGGTCGCGGAGACAGATCTTGGAAGACACGAGTGTGAAAATGAGGGAAGGCCAAGAGTGAACTCCCAAGGCTCGAATCCCAAAGATGCTTGGGATCAGCGGCACCGTGGATGAATGTGGCAAAAAGATGCCATACGGCCCACAATGGTATGGGTCAATGCCTTCACGTATGGCAAGGTCTTCGGTTCAGATCACGGATTGCCGAACCTGGTGATTAGTTTCGCCTACATGCCGAGGCATATGTTAGGCTTGGCAAGGCCACTTCGTCACCTTCACGCAACCTCGCTCCAGCGTGTACCTACAATACCAGAAGCTGGCCTACAAAAGAACTCCACTATCTGGTCTTCAAATATATGCTACATATAAGTATGACCTTATCTTCGATAAGAATCAATTGCTGCTTCACTTTCATGATACGAACGATCTGGCCCTAAGCGGCAGCATCTGTGCCACCCACGGTAGTATCTTTCCTCTACCCTACAGTGGAGTTACCTATGATTTAATTCCTCCCCATGTGCCATGATGAGGACTACGGGCTTTAACTGGCATCTGTGTGCATCTTGATCCATGGGTGCTCTGCACGGGTGGACATGAGGGGGAGATGGGCAGGTTGCGGGTTAGGGTGTGCAGGGGTGTGAGCGTGGAAGGTGATGTGGTGAGGAGAGGGTGGTGAAGGAGGACAGTGAGTTTCATCGCTGTGTTTTCAAACACCACCACGACAGTGCAGGAGGGAGCGTTTGAATGAGAGATAGACTGAGGGCGGGGTAAGGAAGGGGGGGGGAAGCGAGCGTGGTCTGGAGGTGAGAACGTATAGAGCCAGGCCTTTCCCAGACCAAAATCACTCACCAAGAATCTCCTTGCCAGTTATCCTCGTGGCCGGATCCTTGTCAAGCATCCTCCTTATAAGCTCCTTGCACTCTGCCGACCGGTCGCCCCACTTGCTGTGGGGGAAGGGCACGTCATCCCCCAGAATGGACTCCTTGAGCGTCTTACTTGCGCGCTCCCAGAAGGGAGGCGCCCCGGCCAGCATGACATAGAGCACCACACCAGCACTCCAGAGGTCAGCGGGCGGGCCGTACGCACCCTTGAGCACCTCCGGGGCGATGTACTCAGGCGTGCCCAGCACCTCCCGGCACACCACGCCTGCAGTGAACCGCGTGGCCACGCCAAAGTCAATGAGCTTCATGTGGGTGTCGTCAGAGCGGTCGCACATGAGCACGTTCTCGGGCTTCACGTCCATGTGCAGCACGCCCCGTGCATGGCAGTGCAGCAGCACGCCCACTAGCGCCTTGCAGATGGCAGCAGCAGCGGGCTCAGGCATGCGGCCGCGCAGCTTGATGCGGTCAAAGAGGTCGCCGCCCTTGCAGAGCTCCATCACAATGTGAATGTTGTCGTCATCTTCAAACGTGGCATGCACCGCTACGATGTGCGGGTGGCCGCGCAGCTCCTCCAGGAACCCCACCTCGTTGCGCACGTCCTCCGCATCCTCCGCCGTCAGAATGCCCGCCTTGGCGATGCTCTTGCACGCAAACGTGAGCCCTGTCTGCCGCTGCACGCACTTGCGGATGATGCCGAACTGCCCACTGCCGATCTCCTTGCGGGCCACCACGTACTCCTCTCGGATGTCGGCATACGGCTTCCTCAGCACAAAATCACTCGCCCGTGCCTTCCTCCTCCGCTCCGCTGCCCGCTCTGACTGCTTCCACAGCCGCTGCTGCCGAGCCTGCTCTTCCAAACCTTGGCTTCTGTCAGGAGCTCCCTTGGCTTCCCAAGCCTCGCTGCCAGGCTTGGCAACCAACGGCATCGTGGCTGTTGGGGACTGGTGGACTTGTGTTGTTGCTGCTGCTTCTGAGGTGGCCCTGTTGGAGCATTGCTGTGTGACTGTGGCGTGTGTGGTTGCAACGTGTGTGCTTGTGCTTTTGACAGTGCTGACACTGAAGCCAACACACGACACATGTGTGTGCTGGTGCAGGCTCGTCGTGACGTGCTGCTGCTGATGCTCCTCATGCACCTCACTCTGCTGGCTATGCTGCTGCCCCAACTGCTGCTGCTGCTGCTGCTGCTGTTGCTGCCACGCCTCTCTCCCGAGCCTCCCTCTCTGGTACGGCAGCGGCGAACCAGGCAAGGCAGCCCCAGGCACGAGCACGGGCGAGTGAAGAGCAGGAGGAGCAGCGGTGGTGGGGAAGGGCAGCAAGCCCACACTGGAAGGCGAGCGCGGCACAACGGCCGGGGAAAGAGGCCCGCTCACCCCCCTGCCATCACCTTGCCGCCCACTCTTCCCATCTGCGCCACCCCTGGCCCTGAGCGGGCTGAGAGTGAGTCCCAGCAGCCTGCCGCTGCCTCCCCCCTGAAACAGGCTGGACTGCGTGCCATGCGTGTCCCGCGCGCCCTTCCACACCTCGCGCCCGCTCCTGCTGCCCCACCCCATGCTGCTGCCCCCCTTGCTGCTCACACGCCCGCTCTCACCCCCCCCGCAACTGGTGCTAGTGGCACCAGTGGGCGCGCCCGTGCCTGGCCCAGCGGGCCGCGAGTCCCGGCTGCTGCTGTACAGGTCCGAGAGCGCCAGCCGGCTGCTGCTGCGCCGGCAGCTGCCCCCGGCGGCGAGGGCGGCGGCAGCGGCGGAGGTGGAGGCGTTGACGGGGAAGCGAGGGCGCGCGTTGAACGAGCTGCTGCTGCCCAGGAACGCACCCGGGCACAGCGGCATACTGCCGCTGCCTCCACTGCACCCCTGCCTCTCCCCCTGCCTCTCCCCCTGCCTATCCCCCTGCCTCTCCCCCTGCCTCTCCCCCTGCCTATCCCCCTGCCTCTCCCCCTGCCTCTCCCCCTGCCTATCCCCCTGCCTCTCCCCCTGCCTCTCCCCCTGCCTCTCCCCCTGCCTCTCCCCTTGCATCTCTCCATGCCTCTCCCGGTGCCTCTCCCCATGCCCCTGAGCCACCTCCCACGCGCCTTCCTCCCTCCTCACCGCGCTCTCCTCGGCCTGTCCTTCCTCCTCCCCATCCACGCTCCAACCGCTCCCCCTTTCTAACCACTCCTCTTCTTCCCCCTCTCCCCCGTCCCCGTGTCTAGTTTCTGCGTCCTCTCGTGAACTGGTAACCCTGTTACCAGCAACAGCGCCATGACTTGCAGCAGCATTGCCGCTCGCGGCAGCAGAGTTGGCGCAAGTGGCGGCAGCAACAGCAGCGGCGCTCATAGCGGGCGCAGCAGCAGAGCGGCCGCGAGCAGCAGTCGCAACGGCGCGCTGCAGTCTGAGCGCCAGGTCAGCGGACGCCCACCCATGCGCGCTCGCTCTCCGCGCATCCCTCTCACCTCCCCTTCCCTCTTGGCCCGTCATCCCATCCCCGCTATAAGCACTGCGTCGTTCCACCTGCTCCGATACACACCGCACTATCGCCCGCTTTCTCTGCCCATCCCCCCCAACCCGCTGCCGCGGCCGCTGCTGGGGAGACCCCCGCCGCTGCTGCGCCTGCCCGCTCATCCCCTCCCCGCCTCGCAAGCGCGCGTCGGGCCTCCACGAACCCGCCTCGTCCGAGTCACCGCGCGCGGGTGAGGTGGCAGAGATTGGCGCATCGGGCGCAGCGCGGGAGGAGAGCGAGCGCGAGTGGAGGCGCAGCAAGTCCGCGATGCTGAACGCCCGCCCCTGCGCCCCCGAGATCGCCCCCCGCCTCTGCGCCTGCTGCTGCTGCTGCTGCTGACGAAACGTCCCTTCACTTATGCAGCTTGCGCTATCACCGGCGGCACTAGCAGCGCATGTGCTGGTGTGCGTTCCCGCGGCGACTGCCGTCCGCCCCAGCGGGCTCTTGGGCTGCGGCGACGCGCTCCTGCTCGCCGGGGAATGCGGCGTGGGCGACTTTAGGACGCCCAGGGGCGACGCTGGCGACAGCGATGCGAATCGCGAGTGCGACACGGTTGAGGAGGAGGAGAAGCAGGAGGCGGAGGGGGGGGAAGCAGAGGGCGTGGGGGAGGCGGGAGATGCCGGGGAGGCGGAAGGGGGACAAGAAAAAGGGGCAGAGGCGGAATGCGGAAACGCGCCGGAGTGTTTGCGGGCAGAAGGGGAGGCTGGGGAGAAGGGATGGACCGGGGAGGGGGTGGCGGGGGAGAGGGATGACGGGGAGGAGGGGGAGAAGGAACCGCACAGCAGCTTTGGCGGAAGCGCAAAGCGGCGGACCGGCTGGTTCTTCGGGGACACCGGCCTGTGCGCGTCGTGCGGGCTACCCCACGTGGCCTTGGGCTGCGGTCGCGCGGGATCCGGCAGATTGTTGCATTCCTGCGTGCTCACAGCGGGAGTTCCTAGTGCCGTGCGGTTTGCGCTAGGGGCTAACGCGGTAACGGCCCCGGGACTAGTGGCAGGGGCATGGTGGGGTGAGGCGCAGCGAGGGCTGCCTGTGGCGTGGTCGGCTGTCGCGTGGTTGTAGCCTGGACCGAGCCGGCTCCGCGACCGCAGCCCCGCTACAGCCGCTCCTGCTGTCGACGGGGACGGCGGGCCTGCCGCTGCGAGTGAGAATCCCGACGGTGACACGTCAGTTGACGGCCAGTCCTCGTAAGCTGCTTCTGCTGGCGAGGGGCCTAGCCTTGTGGACTGTTGATCGCTTGGCGGGCGCCGCGCTCCAGAATGGTTGGCGTTACTAGGAGAGGAAAGCGGAGAAGCGTGACGCGGGGAGGAGAACGGGGAGGGGGGGCGAGGGGAAGCAGTACGCGGCGAAGCGAACGGAGAACGCGCGTGCGGGGAAGCGGGGCGCTGCGAAACGGCAGCGCCGCAGCTCTGCGACGAAGGAAGCCGCGCGCCTGGCGCCGGCAGTTGCGGCGAAGTGGCGGCGGGAAAGCTCTTCGACTCGACCATGGTTCTGTAGCGCGACGAGGGGGAGTCGCCGTGGGCGGAGAGATGCCCCGTGCGCGCGCCACCCTGACCGCCACTCGGGGACGCGGGTCCTTGGCGCGCGCGACAGCGACCGGGCACGGCGGAGTCCGGGGTGGAGGCAAGGCGAGGCGAGGAAGGCGACGCCGCGGACGAGGTCTCTCCGTTATTCACGCTAGCAGACCGGCAAGAGGCGAGTGGAGAACGAGGCGTGGCATGGCGGTTGGATGCTGCGCGACTCGGAGCGTTTGTGTCGCGCGCAGAGGGAGAGGGTGCGAGCTCGCGGAAGCGAGGAGAGCATTGCTGCGGGGGTGGCTGGTGGGAGAAAGCCGGGAGGTCTAGCGGCGGCGGCGCAATTAGGCGAGAGATGGAGCTCGCCCGTCGCTGCGTGTCTGTCGCCATGAATTGGGAACGTGTTGCACGCTCAGTTCAGGCTCGCTCTAATTCGGCATCACTACTCGTGTAGTAGATACACATGCGCGTCATTCCTAGTCACGATCTCGTCTGGAGTGCAAATTTAGAGTGATCAAAATTGTGCTCACCATCAACCCTACGTGACTGTCTTGAGTTCCACTCACCTTCGCTGTCTCCATCCAAACAGAGGCAGCAAACAGTGGCAGCAAACAGTGGTCGAGGACAATGCTCCTTGGCCTGATTAGCTGTGGGGGGAAGGAGGAGAGGGGGCAGCATTGACTGGAAAAGAAGCAGAGACGATCCGACGGCTGTGGTTCGTTAAGAAGCAGCGCACGTCAGATCCAACCACACTGGATGCACTGCAGTGTCGCCATTGGCCTAAGTGTGGGGTGGAAGAGGGAGGGAGTGGGTGGTGTGTGTGTTTGGGTTCGAGAAGCCACAGTGAGGGAAACGGATGGAAAAGGCGAACAGAGATGGATGGAGCTGGCTGACTGAACTGAACTGACATTCGCTGGTTCGCCTCAAGTCCGTGGTGGTTGGTGGTTACAGCTTGAAGTCGTCGAATCGCATCCACATCTTACGTACCTTGTCTCACAGAGCGACCAGAGCTAATCCACTTGGAAGAGCAAAATACTGCAAGTTCGTTGAGATTCAGGGTGTTTTAAACGAATTATTAGGGCGTCAACATGTCAGAACTGGGTGGAAACACGGGATGTAACACAGCAGCAAATATATGCACTGGGTAATGCTGAGTTTCTAATCAGCAAACTGGGTAATTGCACCTCAACGCCAAATGTTTTCGTTCAGCATGCCTTCTAGTCGCCGTTCCATTGCCAGCTGGCTCTCTGTTGGACTCGAAGCCGACATGGCTCCAACAAAACAGCACCATCACCATGTTCATGGCACAGAAACGTGCCGTTACAAGTACTAGGCCGTACAGAGCTTAGTTCGGAAACCACACTACACAGGATGCAACTATGAGCTTCTATTCCATGTACGTATGTATAATACTCACCAACCCCAAGTTCTCATCCGGAGTCTCGAGTTCCCCCAAATTGCCTCATCCATCCTACCTTTGTTTAGGTGTCACCAAGTCGAGAGCTACCTTAGCTATTGCACGGCCTTGTTCGGCTGGCACATCAGCCCGCACGGATACAGGAAAACGACCACCATCTAACCTTCCTTGATAAGCGGATGGCTGCCGAAACTAACTGGTTCTGGAGGGCAACCAAACAGCCTTAATGGCCCCCGTGCATTTTATTTATTTTATTTTGTTATTATATATATATATATATACGGGCGAGCGTTCCAAGAAACGCCAACTCCTGGCAATCGGGCGCTTCACTCATGCGGCGCAGTGCATGTGGTTGGGTGAAGATGCGGTGCATTCTGTTGCGATCAGAAAATTCATCGTCCCTAGGATCACCTCGGGTAGGTTGTCGGAGAATGCGTAGTAGTGTTGGTGTCAGAATGTTATTCTCTAGCCTGTAGTGGGGTGCTCTATAGCGAGTACAACCCATCTAGGGTTTGCTATCCTCATTGCTGCTAGTAAAATCCTCCTTCTTTGCCTAAACTTTCACTTGCCTACCTAGGACTTACCTAGCTGTGGCTCCTCACTATAACTACTACTCTCACATGGTTTCAGAGCACTCACGCTCCCGGCCTGTGGGCCCTACTGCTGCTTCCGCTGCCCTACTCTGTGTTGCGCGCCTCGTGGCGCGCGACCTCCAATTTTTCATCCCGCCGCGCGCTCGGGGCGCGCGGCGGTTTTCTGCCCGACGTGCGCCCCGAGGCGCGCGGCGGTTTCCTACCGTGGGGGAGCCCGCGCGCGCCTCGCCTGTCGGTCGCGGCGCCCTAAGGAGCCCGCGAGCGCCCCGCCCGTCCGTCGCGACGCACTAGGGAGCCCGCGAGCGCCCCGCCCGTTCGTCGCGACGTCCTAAGGAGCCCACGCGCGCCCCGTCAGTTCGTCGCGGCGCCCTCGGGAGCCTGCGCATGCCCCGTCAGGCCGTCGCGGCGCCCTGGAGAGCCGCGCGCGCGTCCCCTTCGCCCGTCCGTCGCGGCGCCCTGGGGAGCAGCGCGCGCCACCCCCCTCCACCCGCCCAGCCCGTCCGTTCTGGCGCCCTGGGGGTCTCGCGTTGTCCCCCTCTCACCATCCCCCGCGCTCCTGCCCCTATCCCACCCGTTTTAGGGTTTTGGGGGTGAGGAGTGTGGGGGTGATGGTTGTGGGGGTGTCGGTTGTGCGCGCCGTCCCCTTCTCCTCCTCCTCCTTCGTCTCCCAGTACTGCAGCTGTCGCTGAGGGGGGTGGATGTGTGGGAGTATGGGGTTTAGGGTTTAAGGGGGGTGCTGTGGGAGTGGAGCTAGGGTTTGAGCAGGGGGTGTGTGAGAGGGGCGTTGGGCAGCTGGGGGAGGTTGAGAAGAGGCAGCAGTCTTGTCGCCAGCAGCACCAGCAGTCCGGAGGCTACAATCTCCGGTAGTCGCCAGTCGCCTGTGGGTCAGTTGCTCCGGTCTGGAGGCTGCAATCTTCGCGGAGCCAGCTACTCCTGTAGTCCGGGCTTTGTTTCGGTAGCCACTGAGCCAGCAGCTCCTGTGTGTCTGCAGCTTCAGCAGTCGCCTCCCATCTTCTCTTGTGAAAGTTTTAGAAGAAAGAAGAGGGGTTGCACTAGCAAGAATGAGGATACAAATAGCAAACCCTAGAAGGGTTGTACTCGCTATAGAGTACCCCACTACATGCTAGAGCATAATATTCTGACATCTCTCCCCCACAGTCTCTCCTCCTCCTCACTTGCCCTCTGTGATTAGCTCTAGCTTTGCTTACCTTTGTGAACTCCTGCTCTATACCTACTTGCTCATTGTACTGATTACACCCCACTTTGGCTATGGGGGTGTGTTAGAATGTTATTCTCTAGCCTGTAGTGGGGAGCTCTATAGCGAGTACAACCCATCTAGGGTTTGCTATATGTATCCTCATTGCTGCTAGTGAATTCCTCCTTCTTTGCCTTGTGGCTCCTCACTATAACTACTACTCTCACAGTTGGGCCCTTTGCCTCTAATAACAGCGAATGTAAAATAACTAAGATGATTAAAATATGCAAATACAATCGTATAAATAAGAGTACAGGGGAATGTGAAACGACCCAGCTAGCAATGTACCTTAGGGGGGTACCCAGTTTGCAATTACCCAGTTTGCTGATTACCCAATTTGCTGATTAGAAACATTAACTTATTACAACGAAATCAAATTGTGCGACTCCAGATGTTACGGGTGCAATCAATCGAAGTAGCGAGAATTGCACTAAGGTGTCAAACGAGTACAAAATGTGAGCGAAGGAATGACCGAACATTTATACGCGAAACATGCAAACGCTAACGCGGTGCGTGCGAGCTAGCTAGTGCTATGCTGGAAGGAAGGCTCGGGCTAGTCCCGAAGCGTAGGTCGACACGGCCAGGCCAGCCGTGCGAGGTTTGGTGAAACAATACGCGCGAAGTCGGCGAAGCCCCGCTAGCAGTTCCGGGCGAACAACGGCTGCTGCTGTACGCGATGTTGCGGGGTGCGCCAAGGAATATCGAGAAAATTCCTTGCACTACCCCCCCCCCCCCCCCCCCCTTAAGAAGCCCCCTCCGCTACGCGAGTGCGTGTATATCGCGGAAGCCCCGGCTCCTCAGGTACACTTGCAGGGCAGGGTGGTTTTCGATGTTGGCCAGGGGCACCCAACTATCCTTAGTTGGCGTGCGATCCTTCCAGCGAACGAGGAATTCAATCCTCCTGATTCCCGTGGGGTGTCGAATTCGATGGCTCAGGATTTTTTCGGGCTCGATGATCGGCTCCGATGATTGGCTTGTGGTTGGGATGTATGGGCGAAGCAGGCTGACGTGGAATGAAGGGCTGATGTACTTGTCCGTCGGCAATAGTAGGTGAGCTGTGACTGGGGTTATCATGTGGCTGATTTGGAATGGTCCACAGTAGCGGGGTCCTAATTTCAGTACGACGGGCAGTCTTAAGTTCTCTGTGTCGAGCAGTACGTAATCTCCTGACTGGTACGTGACTTGGCGGCGGTGGCGGTCAGTTTTGCGCTTAGCAATGACGTTGGCTTTTTTAATTGCTTCTGCGGCTCTGGTGCGGGCAGCTTGCAGAATTTCGGCGAATTGCTGTGCACGTGGTGTTGGGTAGTCCGGACTGGGCGTCATGGGCACTGCAGGGTTTTGCCCGTTATTCAGGTAGAAAAGGGACTGCTGTGCCGTCGCTGACGTGGCGTTGTTATACGCGAACTCGATCAGCGGCAACTGCTGCTCCCAAGTGGTCGGGTCGTCGCACGTGGCGCGAATCAACTGCTCCATCGTCTGATTCGTCCGCTCCGTTTGACCATCGGTCTCGGGGTGGTACGACGAGCTGAATTGTAGGCTTGTCCCGAACTGCTCCCAGAGGTTCTTCCAGAAGTTGCTGGTGAACTTCGTGTCGCGGTCGCTGATTATCGTGGCTGGTATCCCGTGTAGTCGAACGACGGCTGCGATGAACAGGTGAGCGGTTTCTTCGGCTGAGATCGATTTCTTGCACGCAGCTAAGTGTGCCATCTTTGTCAACCTGTCAACGACGACCATAACTTCGTCGTTACCCCCAGGGTTCGAAGGTAACCCTGTGACGAAATCCATGGTAACCTGCTGCCAGGTGCGCTCAGGCGGTGGGATCGGCTGCAACTGACCCGCCTTTCTTTTTTGTGAGCTCTCCATCACCTGACACGTAGGACACGATCCCACGTGGTGCTGTACGCCGGTCAACAGCTCCGGCCAGTAGTAATACCGCTGCAGTAGCTGTCGCGTTTTTTCTACCCCGAAATGTCCCGAGGTAGTCCCTTCGTGTGCCTCCTGCAGTAACAGTTCCCTCAGTAGTGAGTACGCGGGTACCCAGATGCGGTTGGTGCCTGTTTTTACGTAATAGACTCCTCTGGCCTTTGCCAGTTGCCGTGAATTTCCGGTCGTGAAAAATGGGTCGGTATTGTATCCGTGGGTGAATAGGCCTGTTAACAATGGGTTGGTTTGGGCGAGTAGGATGGCGTGGAGTTGGGCGGTGGGGCGTGTGAGTGCGTCGGCGATGTTGGATGCGCCTTTTTTATACGTTACCGTGTAGTGGAAGTTGGACTCCAGATAGTCCAACCAGCGAATCTGTCGTGGGTTGAGATTCGGTTGGGCGCGAAGGTACTGTAGGGATCGGTGGTCTGTCCGTACTGTCACGTCTGCTCCCGTGAGGTAACATCGCCACACCTTGAACGCGTGCACGATCGCCAACACTTCGCGGTCGTGTATTGGGTAGTTGCGTTCGGGCGGGTGAAGCTTGCGGGACTCGTACCCGATTGGCTGAAGGCCGTTCCCGAAGTCCTGCAACAGTACTGCTCCCACAGGGATGTCGCTAGCGTCGGTGACGAGCTCGAACGGACGGTGTGGGTCTGCGATATGAAGTACGGGCAGTGAGCACAAAATATTTTTGAGGGCCGAGAAGGCAGCTTGCTCTTTCTCCCCCCACGTGTACTCAACCCCCTTCCTCAGCAGGTCGGTCAACGGGGCAGTCAGCTTCGCCATGTCGGGGACGAACCGGCGCACGTAGTTGACGAACCCCAAAAAACTGTGCAGCTCAGTCAAGTTGGTCGGCGCGTGCCATGCTTGAATTGTCGCATTTTTTTTCGGGTCTATTTCCACTCCTGCAGCTGAAATGACGCGTCCCGAAAACTCCAGTCGGTCCTGTAAAAACTCTTACTTGACGCTTTTGTCAGTAGGCGGTTCTCACTCAGTATCTTAAAAACTGCTTCGATGTCCTGTAAGTGCTGTGCTCTGTCGGGGCTGTAAATCAGTATATCGTCCAGGTATACGATGACGCACTTATCTAAAAGCGGGCGGAAGGCTTCGTTCATGGTCATTTGAAAAGTAGCGGTGGCGTTGGTAAGTCCGAAGGGCATGACGGTGAATTCGAAGGATCCGTATTGTGTTCGGACGACTGTCTTGGGGCAGTCGGGTGGGTTGACGCGAATCTGGTGGTAACCCCCTCGAAGGTCAATTTTCGAGAAAACCCGGGCTGTGCGCAGTTGGTCGATCAGTTCATCGGCTCGCGGGATGGGGTAACGGGATTTGATGGTAACCCTGTTCAGTGCTCTGTAATCTAAGCACATGCGAAATCCCCCGTCTTTTTTCGGCGTGAACAGTATTGGTGCTGCGAAGGGCGACGAACTAGGGCGAATGAACTCCTTCTCTAGCAGGTAATCCAGCTGCTTCCTCAGTTCATCCAGTTCGGGTTGGGTCAGTCGGAACTGTTGCTGTACTGTCGGCTGTGCCCCCGGTTCTAGTTCTATCCTGTGGTCGTGCGGTCGCTGAGGTGGCAGTCCCGTCGGTAGGTCGTCCGGGAAAATGTCTCTGTACAGTTTCAACAGTGCTGCCAGATCACTCGGTACGTCGGCTAGGAGTTTCTGTAAATCCCCTCCTTTGTCTGCTGCCTCGGCTTTCCGAATGTCAACCGCGTACACGTCAGCTCCTGCCGCTACGGCGCGTTTCATCGTGATCGCATTGACACGCACCGACGATGACTCAGGCGAGCCCCAGTGAGGTAAGGCGATGTTGTTACCGTTCACTCGCACAGTGCAGTCACCCGTCGTCCAGTCGATTCGTGGATTGTGTCGTCGCAGCCAATCACGCCCGAGTAAAATGTCAATTCCGTCAAGGGTCGTTGTGAGCATTTCCTGGCTAAACGTGAAGTTACCCCCACATTGAATCCGAACTCGGTCCACACGTTCCCGTATCGCGAGTGGCGTGCCGTCGACCAGTCTTGCGTCGATCTCAGGTAAGCATCTGTCCAGTGGCAGTTGCAGTTTTCGTGCTGTAGCAATGTTGATGAGGCTGTGGCTGGCTCCCCCGTCTACGAATATTTTAACTAAGCCAGTCCCAATTTTCCCATTAAGTAGTATAGGGCTGTCTACCATAGTACCCTCCTTATTCGGCCGGGTGTGGTCGATTGCGTGAACCAGCACAATCACTCGGTGAGGGTCGGTTGGGTCGGGCGAGCGGCGTGACCTGTCAGTAGAGGGCCCGTCTACTACTGACTCCCAGCATTTCCCTGCTGCTTGGTCTGTTTCTGCTGCTCAGCTTCCCCCTTTCCCTTAGCATTTTCCGGGCATTCGCTCTTACGGTGTCCCGGTCGATTGCACGCAAAGCAGCGCCCTTTGAATGGTGCGACAGTGGCATTTGCGGCGACGGCACCTATCGTAGCGCCCTCGTTCGTCCCACGAGGCCGATGTCCCCAATTGCTGCTTCTGTAGGACCCCGGTCTCGGTCGGCGGAAGAAATCGAGTTTCCCCGCCATGGCGAGAATCTCCTGAAAATCGGTGATGCCGCGAAGCTGGATTTACTGAGCGATGTCCTGCTTCAGGCCGCCGATGTAGCAGTCGATGCGTTCGCTCTCGTGCATGTATCCGACCTGCTTGCATAGCGCTAGAAACCCGCTCATGTAGTCTTGGACGGAACCGAGTTGGCGCCAAGTGCGGAGCCTCTGTCGCGCCGCAATCAAAGCCGCAATTGGCTCGAAGCGAGCGCGCAGACCTGCGCACCACGTATCCCACTTGCGATACTGGGGCACCTCCACAAAATATGACGGTGCCTAGGGTCCGGTTTGTCCTTCCCGTGTCAGTAGAGTCGCGTAGTCCACCGGCTTCGTGTCGATGACACGCCACCAGTCCATGGCGGGTCCTCGCAGCAACGACACGGCGTATCGGATCTTCGCCGTATCCTCCAAGACGTAGTTCGCATTGAAGAAAACGTTCAACGTGAAAAGCCACGCCTGAACGGTAGGACCACCCCGCTCACTTGTGTCAGAACATATATGTAGCTTATGCTGTTGTGTAGGCTACAGTGGGGTATACCATAGGGGGTACAACCCAATTAGGGTTTTGCTATTTGTACTCACTTCACTCATAGTTCATTCATTCTCGTTCTATTTTCCACATGGTATCGAGCAGGTTCCCCCGTGGGAACTGTGCTTAGGGCCCACCACTTTTAAACCTTTTTTTTCTGCCCGGAGCGCGCTCCGGGCCCTCGCTCTCACTCTTTCGGCCTGCCCTGCGGCCCCCTAGCTGCCCGCGCGCGCCCGTTCCGGCCCCTAGCCGCTCGCGCGCCGCCCGTTCCGGCCCTTAGCCGCCCGCGCGCCGCACGTCCCGGCCCCTAGCCGCTCGCGCGCCGCCCGTTCAGGCCCCTAGCCGCCCGCGCGCCGCCCGTCCCGGCCCCTAGCCGCTCGCGCGCCGCCCGTTCCGGCCCTTAGCCGCCCGCGCGCCGCCTGTCCCGGCCCCTAGCCGCTCGTGCGCCGCCCGTTCAGGCCCCTAGCCGCCCGCGCGCCGCACGTCCCGGCCCCTAGCCGCTCGCGCGCCGCCCGTTCAGGCCCCTAGCCGCCCGCACGCCGCCCGTCCCGGCCCTTAGCCGCCCGCGCGCCGCCCGTCCCGGCCCATAGCCGCTCGCGCGCCGCCCGTTCAGGCCCCTAGCCACCCGCGCGCGCCCGTCCCGGCCCCTAGCCACCCGCGCGCGCCCGTCTCGGCCCCTCGGCGCCAGGACGCCGCCCGTCCTGGCCCCTCACCCGTCCCGGCCTCACACCGCCCGTGCGCCGCCCGTCCCTGCTGCACGCCGCCGTCCTGGCCCCCCACGCCGCCCGTTAGCCGCCGTGCAGCCTGAGCCACCCGAGCCGTCTGCGCAGCTGAGGAGCCGAGCCGCCCGAGCCGCCTGTGCCGCTGACTGCCCGAGCTGCCCGAGCCGCCTGAGCCGCCAGAGCCGCCCGAGCCGCCTCCCCTCCCCCCCCCCCCCCCCCCCCCCCTTTTCCCGTCGCCCGTCGCGGCTCCTTCGGGGGCCGCCAGCTGAGGGGTGGCAGGTGTGTGGTCTCCCCTCCTTCTCCTCCTCCTTCGTCTCGAGCCGCCCTGCAGCCGAGCCGCCTCGCCGCCGAGCCGCTCTACACCCGAGCCTCCCAGCAGCCGAGCCGCCCTGCAGCCGAGCCGCTCTACACCCGAGCCTCCCAGCAGCCGAGCCGCCCTACAGCCGCACCGCCGGGTCGCCGAGCTGCCGAGCTGCAATTGCTGCCAAGCCGCTCTGCCGCCGAGCCGCCCGAGTCGCCCGAGCCGCAGAGCCGCCGTGCTGCCGAGCCGCTGAGTCGCCGAGCCTACTCTACCCACCACTGGTGAGCCCCTGCCCTGCTAGCACGCTGCGCGTCGCCTGCTTGCCTGCCTGCCTCCCTTTTTGGCTTGCCTGGCTGCCTGCCTTACTGCTGCTACTCCTGCTCCTGCCTCTACTGGTGGAGCCAGATGCAGCCCCATCGACGTCTGCGTGAGTCCCTCACGCCCCAGCAGCTGCGTGAGTGGTACGCTGGTTGGGGCTGTAGGGGTGGTGGCGCTACTACTGCTACCACTCCTGCTGCTTCTACTACTGGTGGCGGCCAGATGCAGCTCCCGCGACCCCCCTGCGCGTCTCTCACGCCTCAGCAGCTTCGTGAGTGGTACGCTCAGAGTAGAGGGTCTCTCAGTTCTGTTCGCTGCTCTTACGTGATTCTCACTGGTGCTCGGACTGGTCAGCCTTGTGGGACACCTAGTCATACACCGTCCCGCTGCTTCGCCCGTCTGAGCGACGCCTGGCGTACCGTGTTTGGCGACGAGGCTGAGCTCCCCGACTGGGTGGAGTTGCTTAGGCAGAGGGTAGATATATTTGCTCTTGACTATGATGCTATTCTCACTGCCATGTATGCATTGCCTACTAGCGCTGACCGTGCCGGTCACCTGGGCGTACCGCCTGACCCGGGTATAGGACCTGCTGCTCTAGCTACTGGTGAGGCTGCTGCTGCTCTGGGTGCTAGTGAGTCTCCTGCTCCAGGTCCAGGTGCGGCTGCTGCTCTAGGTGCTAGTGAGTCTGCTTCCTCAGGTGCGGGTGAGGCTGCGCTCTCAGGTACCACGTTGGCTTCGGCCTCCCTCACCTTTACACTTGACTCTGGGGCTTCTCGCTCCTTCTTTCGGGACCGCACCACACTCACGCCGCTTGGTCGGCCTGTTGCAGTCTCCCTGGCTGACCCCTCTGGGGGTCCTGTCCTAGCTCACTTTTCCACTGTCCTCCCGTGTCCGGCTGCCCCCTCGGGCACCCTGTCTGGCCTGTACCTCCCCTCGTTCTTGACGAACTTGGTGAGTGGTGCAGACCTGCAGGATGCGGGGGTTCACCAGTTCACTCCTGCGAGTCAGCGGGTGACCCACTGCACGGACGCACGCACAGGCCGGCACCTGGCCACGTTCTCGCGTCGGCCGGGGTCGAGCCTCTACACCCTGACCACTGAGTCTCCTCCTGTCCCTGCGTCCGGTCAGGTAGCTGCGTCAGGTCAGGTGTTTGCTGCTGCGTCCAGGTCTGGTCCTGAGTCTGCCCCCTGTTCGTGTCGCCTCCTGTCTCACGAGACTCTCCTGTGGCACCATCGTCTCGGCCACCCCTCCTTGCCCCGTCTTCGGGGCATGGCTTCCTGTGTCCTTGTCTCTGGTCTTTCCCAGTCTCTCCCTCCCCTTCCTTCGGGACCAGGACCTTCCTGTGTCCCCTGTGTCGAGGGGCGCCTCAGGGCTGCTCCTCACTCCTCCCAGTTTCCCCCGACAGAGGCTCCTCTGCAGACACTTCACATGGACGTGTGGGGCCCGGCCTCAGTCCGTGGGCAGGGTCATGAGCGCTACTTCCTGTTGGTGGTTGACGACTACTCGCGTTACACCACAGTCTTCCCCTTGCGCAGCAAGGGTGCTGTCACTGAGGTGCTGATCGACTGGATCCGCGAGGCTCGTCTCCAGCTCAGGAGGAGCTTCGGCTCGGACTTTCCTGTTCTGCGTCTGCACTCTGACCGAGGTGGGGAGTTCTCCTCTCGCCTTCTGCGAGACTACTGCCGTGCACAGGGGATCCGCCAAACCTTTACGCTTCTGGACTCTCCACAGCAAAATGGGATTGCTGAGCGCGGCATTGGCATGGTCATGGATGTCGCTCGTACGTCCATGATGCATGCGGCTGCCCCCCATTTTCTGTGGCCGTTTGCGGTTCGGTACGCGGCGCATCAGCTCAACCTTCACCCCAGGGTCTCTCGGCCCGCGATGTCCCCAGTGTTACTGTGGACGGGGAAGGTCGGCGATGCGTCTGCGTTCCGTGTCTGGGGATCTCGGGCGTTTGTCCGCGACATGTCTGCGGACAAGCTGTCCCCCCGTGCTGCTCCCTGTGTCTTCCTTGGCTTCCCCCCTGACGCTCCAGGGTGGCAGTTCTACCACCCCTCCTCTCGTCGTGTTCTGTCCTCCCAGGACGTCACGTTCGACGAGTCAGTCCCCTTCTACCGCCTCTTCCCCTACCGTACTCCTTCCCTCCCCCCCCCACCGGACTTCCTGGTGCCAGTTCCCCCCCCGGTAGACCCCCTCCCCCCTCAGGTTCCTGCCCCTTCAGGTGTGTCCCAGGTAGACACAGTCGAGCCAGTCGAGGTTGCTGCTGAGTCTGGTCCTGCTGCGGGTGCAGAGTCTGGGGGTGCTACGCCTGCGGGTGCTGAGCTTGGGGGTGCTGCTGCTGGGGGTGCTGAGCCTGGGGGTGCGAGGCTGGGGGGTGCTGAGCTTGGGGGTGCTGCTGCTGGGGGTGCTGAGCCGGGAGGTGCTACGTCAGGAGCTGCTGAGCCTGGGGGTGTTGGGCCTGGAGGTGCGGAGCCTGCGACTGCTGGACCTGGGGGCTCTCCGGTTGCTCCGTCTCGGCGGGAGCCGCTCTCTCCACATGAGCTGCGCGAGTGGTTTGCTCGCCGCTGGAGGCGTGCTGCTGGAGCTGGAGCTCCTTCGACTGCTGAGGGTGCTGTTGCTGCCGGTCCCGGAGCTGCTGGGCCTGCGGGTCCTACTGGAGCTGGAGCTGCTGAGCCTGGGGGTGCTGAGTCTGGAGCTGCTGAGCCTGGGGGTGCTGAGTCTGGAGCTGCTGAGCCTGGGGGTGCTGAGTCTGGAGCTGCTGAGCCTGGGGGTGCTACGTCTGGAGCCGCTGAGCCTGGGGTTTCTCCTGGTGCTGCGCCTCGGCGGGAGCCCCTCTCTCCGCAGGAGCTGCGCGAGTGGTTTGCTCGCCGCTGGAGGCGTACTGCTGGAGCTGGAGCTTCTTCGACCGTCGAGGGTACTGGTGCCGCCGGTCCCGGAGGTGCTACGCCTGCGGGTCCTACTGGAGCTGGGGCTGCTGAGGGCGTTGGTGCTGAGTCTGCTGCTGTCTGTCCTGCCGGTGGTTCTGCTGCTGGTGCTGCTGGAGGTCCTGCCGCTGGAGGTGTTGGTGGCGCTGGTGCTGCCGCTGAGGGTGCTGGTGCTGTCCGTGCTGAGTCTGGAGCTGCCGCGCGGCCTCGGCCGTACTTCGTTCCGCTTCTGCAGCAGGTTCTTGGTCTTTCTCCTCCGGTAGAGTGTCCACAGCCTGTCCACTCGCAGTCACTGTTGGAGCCTACCTCCCCACTGCCTGCTCCCTCTCCTTACACTGGTCCTACTGGAGGTCTTGCTGAGCGTCGTGAGCCTGCGTCTTGTCCCGCGTTGCCTGTTCGTGCTGCCCGCGCTAGTGGTCGTGGTTCGCGTCCGCGTCCTGCTCCTGTCCCTGGCACGCACCGGATGTCTCTGCGTCCGTCCACTGCTCCTCTGCGTGCCCTTTTGCCTTCTCCTCCTGAGTCCTCCCTTCCTGTGCTTACCGACCCAGAGTCGGACTCCCTTCGTGCTGCCAGTCCTACTATCACGCGTCTGCTTGCTACTGTCGTCTCTGACCCCTCTTTTGAGTCCGCTGCTGCGTCTGCTCTTGTCGCTGAGCTCGTCGACTTTGCTGCTCGCTACCGTCTAGACTACGCTGCTAGTCTTGTTGCTGAGTCTGCGTCTGTCTGTCCTCCGTCCGTCGGGGGTGAGTGTGCTCTTGGCACGGACGTCCTAGAGGACAGGCAGGAGGAGTTCCAGTGTCTGGCTGCTGCTACACCTCATCTCGCGTCTGTACTGCTTGCTCCTGAGGGAGACCCGGATGCACTAGACATCCCGACTCCGCGCTCTTACGCGGAAGCCGTAGAGGGTCCTGTCGAAATATTTTGTCATGTTTTATAAGTGCTTGTAGTTGTAGATAGTGTAGTTATGTAAACTTTTGTTGGTGGTGTACCTTATTTTGTTTCTATGCTATATGTACCCCTGAACCTATAGTGAAACCACCTTTTTCACCAATTTCCCTCTCAACTCACTCGACATTGCTCCTAGGGGAAAACCCGCTCGATACCTAAGTTAGGGCCTAGGCTACTAAGCCTAGGCCCCCGTTTCTACTCTTAATTTACTTAGACATTCGACATGGTATCAGAGCCGAGTGTTCGTCCTGGCCTGTGGGCCCACTTTACTTCCGCTGCTAAGATTTTACTGTCGCGCGCCTAGGGCGCGTGACGGTTTTATTTTTACCTTGTCCCGCCCACGGGCGTGTGACTCCTTCCCTGCCCGTCGCGCGCCCCGTGGCACGCGACGGTGCCCTTCTACTGCCCATCGTGCGCCCCGTGGCACACGATGGTGCCCTGCTCGTCGTGTGCCCCGAGGCACACGATCGGGCCCTTTTATGCTACCCGTCGTGCGCCCCGTGGCACTGGCCCGCGACGGGCCTTTCCGCCCCTGCACTCCCTGCTGCCGCCCCTGACCCATCTGCACCGACGCCTCTTCGCCGCTCTGCGGCTTTCTTCTTTCCCACCCCCCCCTTTCTCTTGTCTCCCTGCAGCCGTGGGGAGGAGGGTATGGGGGTGGAGGGTGTTGGAGCGTGGGGTCAACTCTCTCCCTTTCCCTCCTCCTTCTTTCAGTCCCACCGCTGCAGCTGCCGCTGGGGGAGGAGGGTGTGAGGATGTGGGTGAGGAGGGGGAGTGGTACCGGGGTGGCGGGTGTGAGGCAACAAGCAGCCGTCCCTCCACCTCTCCTCTCTTCCCCCTTTCTCTGCTGCTTCTGCAGCAGTGTGGGGGAGGGGAAGGAGGAGGGTGAGGAGATGGTAGGGGTACCTGCTGTTGCTGTAACTACATACCTACCTACAAGCATTATGGGGGCGTGTCGAAATATTTTGTCATGTTTTATAATTGCTTGTAGTTGTAGTTAGTGTAGTTATGTAAACTTTTGTTGGTGGTGCACCTTATTTTGTTTCTATGCTATATGTACCCCTGAACCTATAGTGAAACCACCCTTTTCACCAATTTCCCTCTCAACTCACTCGACATTGCTCCTAGGGGAAAACCCGCTCGATACCTAAGTTAGGGCCTAGGCTACTAAGCCTAGGCCCCCGTTTCTACTCTTAATTTACTTAGACATTCGACAGGTCCCTACTCCTCTCAGTGGCAGGCACCTATGGATGCAGAGATGGCTTCCTGGAAGTCCACAGGCACCTACGTTGACGCGGTTCCCCCTCCTGGGGCGAACATCGTCAGTGGCATGTGGATCTTCAGGGTGAAGCGGCCGCCGGGCTCTCCACCTGTCTTCAAGGCGCGGTACGTCGCTCGTGGCTTCAGTCAGCGGCAGGGAGTTGACTACTTTCAGACCTTCTCTCCCACCCCGAAGATGACCACTCTTCGGGTGCTGCTGCACATAGCCGCTCAGCGCGACTACGAGCTTCACTCTCTCGACTTCAGTACTGCGTTCTTGCAGGGGAGCCTGCACGAGGAGATCTGGCTGCGCCGTCCACCTGGCTTCACTGGGACTTTCCCTCCTAGCACCCAGTGGAGCCTCCGACGGCCAGTCTACGGTCTCCGCCAGGCACCACGTGAGTGGCACGACACACTGAGGACTACGCTTGCGGCCCTTGGGTTTGCTCCTTCTACTGCTGACCCGTCGCTGTTTCTGCGCACCGACACTTCACTGCCGCCGTTCTACATCCTCGTGTACGTCGACGACTTGGTCTTTGCCACAGCGGACACTGCTGGACTCGCCTACGTGAAGTCCGAGCTGCTGAAGAGACACACGTGCACAGACCTGGGTGAACTGCGCAGCTACCTTGGCTTGCAGATCACTCGGGACAGAGCACGCCGCACCATTACCTTGACTCAGTCACACATGGTGCAGCAGGTCCTTCAGCGCTTCGGCTTCACGTACTCCTCGCCTCAGGCCACTCCTCTGTCTACTCGTCACTCGCTCTCAGCTCTGCCTTCGGATGAGTCCGTAGAGTCGAGTGGCCCGTACCCAGAGCTTGTTAGCTGCCTCATGTACCTGATGACCTGCACACGACCTGACCTTGCATACCCTCTTAGCATTCTTGCACGCTATGTTGCTCCTGGGAGACACCGACCAGAGCACATGGCTGCAGCGAAGAGGGTATTGCGCTACCTGTGCAGTACGTCGGGCATGGGGCTAGTGCTTAGAGGGCGGAGTCCAGTGGTACTTACAGGTCACGCGGACGCTTCTTGGGCTGACGACCAGGCTACGCAGCGGTCGTCACAGGGTTACACCTTCAGCCTTGGCTCCGGCTCTGTCTCGTGGCGGGCTACTCGCTCGTCTTCGGTTCTCAGCTCGAGTTGTGAGGCTGAGATCTACGCAGGGGCCATGGCTGCACAGGAGCTCCGCTGGCTCACCTACCTGCTGACTGACCTTGGAGAGCCGCCTTGTTCTCCTCCAGTGCTGTACGTAGACAACAAGGCCATGCTGGCCTTGTGTCGAGAGCAGCGTCTGGAGCACAGAACGAAGCACATTGCTCTTCGCTACTTCCTTGCTCGTGAGCTACAGCAGCGTGGACAGTTGCGGCTTGCGTACGTGGCCTCTGAGGCCAACACTGCTGATGTGTTCACCAAGGCACTCGCGCCTTGTGACCATCAGCGCTTCTGCACCCAGCTGGGTCTTGTGCCTGTCTTGCCTCACTTGCTCTCCTCTTGACTTTACTTGTACTGTCACATATATATACCTGCTCTTGCTTTTCTAGCTTTATATATATATGTGTGTACTCCTGCATGTGAACTGGCCTTGTGGCCTTGCTCTTGTGCTCGGACTGTGTGGTGACTTTGTGATCCACCCTGAGCTTTGCTTTGCTTTGCTTGACTGGTCTTGTGACCCCTTGTTCTCCCCCACTTTGCCTATGGAGGTGTGTCAGAACATATACGTAGCTTATGCTGTTGTGTAGGCTACAGTGGGGTATACCATAGGGGGTACAACCCAATTAGGGTTTTGCTAGTTGTACTCACTTCACTCATAGTTCATTCATTCTCGTTCTATTTTCCACAACTTGGATTGAAACATGGCGGGCGCTGCGGCTTCAGCGGCATCGGCGACGGTAGGGTTGATTCGCCGGCCGGCACAGAGATCGTGACTCGAGGTTGATTCCCGGCCGCATTCGTCGAGTCGGGGTGTGTCGTGCCGTGGTCGTCGTCTCCGTCATGGCGGACGACGCCATCACTTGCGGCGCTCGTGGGTTGCCCCACACTTCCGTGCTGTGATGCCTATGGTGCGGGCTGAATCGGAGTGCCAGGTGCTTGGGATTGTGTTCGTGCCAGGTCGTTTTGCAGGGACGTGCGTTCTGGCGTCAGCGCCACGATTTTTTTAGAGCTTTCGCGAATCTGCCGCAGCAGTTCGTTCAAGTGCTCCTGCGTGAGAGTCATGACATTGATATGCTCAGCCATTTTGAAGGGCGTCGGCTCGTCTTAGTCTAGGTGCAGTCGTGGCTGCACGCGTTTACGAGAGAACGCGAGGACAGCGGCTCCTAGGGGCTAAGGTGCGTAAGTCCCTTCGAGTGTAAAATCAAAAGTTGATTTCCTGAGGTGCGGAGATGCGCGGTCCGAAAGGAAAGAGGCTCTGAATACCAAGTGTTACGGGTGCAATGGAACGAAGTAGCGAGAATTGCACTAAGGTGTCAAACGAGTACAAAATGTGAGCGAAGGTATGAGCGAACATTTATACGCGAAACATGCAAACGGTAACGCGGTGCGTGCGAGCTAGCTAGTGCTATGCTGGAAGCGAGGCTCGGGCTAGTCCCGAAGCGTAGGTCGAGACGGCCAGGCCAGTAGTGCGAGGTTTGGTGAAACAGTGCGCGCGAAGTCGG